CGTGATGTTTGGCCGTTATTTGTAGAAAACGAAGCTCTTTTGACATGCAATTTCACCTCACGGTAGCTTCAATCTTTTTAAAAACGTGTGTAAAAGATATGATCATGGAGATAGCGCCGGGCGATTGCTAGAGACAAGGATTTAATTAGTATGTATCGAGGCGCTCTTGTTAGCGGTTTTGTAAACATTTTGGTCTACTTTAATAAATTATTGCTTGATAGATTTTTAAACAAATTTAATATTCTTCTCGTAATTCGAGCTGATTACTAGTCAGCCACTTCTTCATTTTCACAGCCACTGTTGCTGATCCTATCTGCCATACACTGTTCTACGAGCGGAGATGATTCTAGAAAGATATGCGGAAGTTTATTCTAATCAATTCACGACTGGAAAGAGCCCATTCCAGTCAGTGCAGTGCAGTACAGTGCTCAACAATAAAAAACTATAAATATGTAAATCAACAAATGATACCCTTCCCTGTAACCAGAAACTCATCTCATCACGTGCTAGGAAATCACTGTGCGTGTCTCGAGAGAAAGTAACTGGATTATTACGCTGACTTCAGGATTTTTCAGATTAAATTAGAAAATATTTGTCTCTTTAGGCTAATAAAAAAATATTGAAACGTCTTTAAGAACTGGCTTTGCCCAAATTTTCTCTTGCTGCCCAAAAACTCTGAGTTGCCCAAAATTTGGGGGGGCTGCAGCCCCCCTCGCCCCCCCGGCCCGTACGCCTATGTTCAAATCCCTTCTAAAACGACTCATAAAGACACAGGAACGCAGGTAAATATATCTTATTATTTTATTAGCTAATATTACCGCGTAAATACATTTACCCCGTAGTTATTCGGTTATAAGGCGCACGGTTTTTTCAAGAAAAATCTGTCTTTGGGTGGCAAGTTAGTGCTAAAATTGGGGTGCGTCTTATAGCCAAGTATTTTCACGTAACAAAATCTTAAGATCACAATTTGAGAAGAACTTACAGTTTAAAATACACAAGAAAAAGACACTTGTTGTTGGTCATTGACTTTTATAGATTTGGTGGTTCTGAAAAGAAACGGGGTGGCTCTGAAAAGAGCCGTTGTGGTGGTTGTTGTTGTTCGTCTAGTCTCGGCTAGTCTTCCTACTCGCTGTCCGTGTCGAACTCGTTCTCTAACTCGTCGTCTGCTTCATCAGCTCCAGCTCCTTTTTCTTCCCACACAGCTTCATCCTCGGTGCCGTCCATAGCGTTCGAAATTCCACAGGACTTGAAGGAGTTGGCGACTAAATCGGCGGGTATCTCTTGCCAAGCTTTGTGTATCCACTGTAAAACAAGTTCTTTACTCGGCGCTCGCTTTTTCCCCGACGGAGTGTAAGTAAACGGACCGTTCAGCATCCAAGCCTGATATTGAGAGCGTACCTTGTTCTTAAACGGCTTGTTAATACATTTGTCAAGGGGCTGCAATACGGGTGTAAGTCCGCCAGGGATGACAGCGACGTCGACATTTCGCCTGGCCAGAAGATCTTTTACGGCCTCCGTCAAGTGACCACGAAACGAATCCCAGACGAGTAGAGCTTTTTGGTCTGCGGTGTAGCGAAGATTGCGTCTAATCCACTCCTTTATTCCTATGAATTAAAAAAAGAATACTGCCTTTAGAGACCTTTAGAATACTAAACGACTTCAAGAGAAAAGCAAACAAATGAAAATTTGCATACGTGCTTAACAGCACGTGCTCAGTAACATGATATCCATGACAACAATGCAGTTTCGAATTCCGAGAATCGTGTTTGTCGCTCGCTCGAAAAGTTCTTTCTCTGAATAAACAGTGTGGAGATAAAACATACCTTCTTCGTCCATACAGCCTTTCTTGTGCACTGAAATTTGCATCCTTGGTGGCGTGTTGATATTCAGCTGCCGAACACCTTTGAATATGACTTTCGGTGGGAGTTTTTCGCCGTTTGCTTTCACTGTTAGGGCAACCGTGAAACTTTGCTTGTCGGCGCCGCATGACAACACTGGGACTGTTCTGCTCCCGGTAAACTCCAAGGTTCTGGTGGCCGGCAGCTCGAACCGCATTGGTGTTTCGTCCATATTGAGGATACGAATTAAATCGTAGCCCCAGCGCTGGCGAGATCTCAGGACGAATCGATGAAACTCGACGACCTTGTCTTCCATGTCGGCTGGGAGACGCTGAGCAAGACTGGTCTTCGCTCTCATGGAGATGGAGTGACGACGCTTCCAGTTCGAGTACCAGCCAAGGGACGCTTTAAACTCGAGGTCGGTGCTGAGTTCTTTGGCCTTTGACTGACAAACCTGTGTAACAACAAAGCCAAATGTCAGTTTAGTAATCGAAACCAATCATTGAATGTAAACATCGCATCGAAGTAATCGCGGTTCTGACACGTTTATAACAATTCACCAGTATAAATCCAGGTTAAATGCTAGATGCTTACCTTGACTTCGTTGATCACTGAACCAGTCGGCTAACTGCTGATCCAACTCAGGATCTTTCTGTCGGTACCGTCCCATTGATGCACGCTTCGCTGTCATCCGCAGCTCGCCGGAAAACAGGACATGTTGCTGGTTGCGCCATTTTCTCACCATGGATTCGGAAATGCCGTATTCACGGGCAATTTCACGATTGTTGTTGACTGCCTCCGCTTCTGCAACGATTTTCAACTTGAAGTTGAGGTCATACAAGTGACGGCGAGTGCTTGGCATATTAACGATCGAACAAGAAGTTGAAGTTGAACTCTGACTGTTTACGACGCGAATGTATCAGTAAGTTTTGCAACTGAGTTTTAAATCAGGTGATTTTATAGGACAAAATCGGATCACTGAATATTTATTAAGTACTTTTGTTAATAGAAGCATGTTTCCTAAGCAGGAAGGTTCAAATAAATGTGTATGCGTTGTATGTTTATCATTACAGGTGTGAACTTTTAGCTTTTGTTTTTACGTATATCATTCATCTGATCATTAAATGTGTGACTTTTTCACTTTTGTTTACGTTAACAAAAAGACTTCACATGCCAATTGTGTAAGGATAATTGTTCTCAGATTCATCACATCGTTCTGTTAACTCTCAATTTTTTGGTGCGTCTTATAACCGAGTATTTTCACGTAATTTTCAGTCTGAGAACTTAGCTTGATGAAATTGCTAAGTTTGGGGTGCGTCTTATAACCGAGTGCGCCTTATAACCGAATAACTACGGGGGTAATTATTCTATTAACTAATACAGCGTTCGGGCTCCCTGTGGCTATTCCGTCAGAGGGCAAATCATATTCCCCTGACTGAACAAAAACCACATAAATCGATAAGCGTGTCATGACCTCTCAGTTTGAAACAAGCAGCTTATAAAACGAAAACCTTGACTTTCCCCATACATTTTCTGTAATTCGACAGTACCAAAATTACAGAAAATGTATGGAAAAATTGAGGGTTTTTTTTTAAACTGATCACGGACTTCTTCATGCACTCCAGATTTAGTGTACTGTTTCTTTGAACTCGTAAGTCAGTCTTTTCAAAGAGAAAGCATCAAATATATGAATCCCGGAAGAATAAGCTGGCTTTGAATTCCAATACAAATCTTTGAATTTCCCGCCATATTGCCCTGATTACCCATGATGCAACTATGAACTCCTCCATAGCAGCTTAACTGAAACGATGAGTGGCCCTTTTAACATGACCTGACCAGTTTATGAAAATAGCAAAGGTTTATGAAAGCGATTGCAGAAATAGCGAAGACTACATCAATTGTGCAAAAAGACTCGAAATACTGACATAAATCGACATAAAAAATGAAGCTGAACTTACCGTCACTCATGCTCATCCCTACACTCATACATCGAGTGTGACAACGTGCTTCGATTACCCGCTACAACAAAAACATCCAAATGAAGTCAATTTGCTTCAGTAAATAAAACAAAACTCAGACACAACTTTTACAAATATTAAAAAATCCAAGACTAAGCCACAAATATTTCAGAAACAACCACTCTGACGGAAGGTACACTGTCACTGGTTGTCTCGAATGACGCGAACGAAGCGGGCAGCTTGGTCCACATTGAATGCTGTGTTGTGATTGGTGGATACAGTCCGGTACGGAAACAGTCTCATTAAAGCAAAGATAGGCAATCAGAGAGCCGCTTTGGAATGGTGCTGGTCAACTGAAATTGAAGAGAGCGTTAATTTTCACTGGTCGCCTAAAAAGAGGTAATTATGGCCCCTTTTGTAGTCCTAATGCTTTTCATAGCGATTTTGATAATTTTACCCGGCTCGGTTTGTCTTAAAATTCGCCGCAGCCCCCTCGCGCAAAGTGATTATTTGAAGCCGAAATTGTCTCTTTGTCGTATACTTTTGCGATGAAAAGAGAAAGGTGAGCGCCTTGTTATTTGTGTTTTCCACTCGTATATGGCTATACACAAAAAATAGATAACAAGGAGCAAAAAATCTGGAAAGCAGAATTTCCGTATTTAGAGCTAAAGAGAAGTACGAGATTATGTTAACACTACTCATTTCTCTACATTTTTTTTTTCAAGATAGCTGGGTTGATTTGAGGTTAGTTAACTGAAAAATAAAGGCTAGACAAACAAACGGGCTTAAGGTTTCAGTAAGATTCATAGTTTTTACTATAAAACAAGAATTTTTTACGATCGAACATTTCGCGCGAAACTAGGAAAAAAACTCAGAATTACGGGCACGCAGGGTGAAAACAAGCTCGGTGACCCTATCTTTTACTGCAGTTTTTGAATGTACTATAAATGGCTGTCATTTGAACCACGTTAAAAAAAACTAGAAAATACACCATTTTCAAGGGAATTACCTTAAGTTAAGACAGAGCAGATTATAACATCGATCTCGTTCTACCAAATTAAAAAAAACTCCCTGTCTGCGGTTCAGTGGAGTACAGCCCATTTACCTCACAAATTTCTCGACCCACGGCCCGGGCCACGCAGCGACAGATACGTGGGTTTTTAACTGCGGATCGTTTTTGAGTAGAGGGCCCTGGGAACCAGAATACACAAGGTGGGTAATGTGTCATTTTTTCTCGCTGTTGTTTTCCGTCAAGTCTGTTAATCCAGACTGACTCAGTGATTCTGAAATCAGTAACTGTGTATATGTAGACAAAACTGACGAGACCTATATCTAGTTCCTTCCGGTAGCATGGCCAATGCAGTGAAGGATTTTGTTCGAAATGGCCTGTCATCTTTATTTGGAAGAAAGAATTTCAGTAGCCACGGTAGTCAAGAATACCTTCATGTTGAAAATCAAGAAGATAGCGATGACGGTATTGTTTATCCAAGCGAGGAGATGCAAAGGAAAAGCGATGGGAAAGGCGAGGATACAAGTACAGTAAATGAGGAAAAATCTGAGAAAACTTCCGCTTTGCAAGCGGCTTGGAATGTTCTCAATTTAATTCAAGGTCAGCGCTAGTCATAGTCATATTTAAAAGCGAACGAAAAAGTTCTATGATGTGCTTAATGTGTGGATATATGTTTAAAAGAGAGTGCACTGGAAAATCAAACCCTTTGTTTGTCCTCATAAATGAGGGTCATTGATTTTAGGTTGAAAATTGAACCATCTTTTACACCGAATATCATGTTCGAAAAATTGTGACCAACAGCCACGACGTAAGGTCAGTGCATAAAAGAGTCCCTTGAACGTATGCAGAAAAAAGTATAATTCGGTTGCCTTAAAAAATCAGGCTCGCAAGTATTTCTTTTCCCTATACTACATTTAAATGTGGTTAATTTGGGCCACGAAGCAAGACGCATATCATATTTTCATATCTTTTGCGTTCTTGAGGCTGGCACAACTTTGGAAAATCAGAAATGGAAGGTTCATCCTGAGATTTGTGGTTTGAGATTTTTGGTTTCCCGGAAAAAAAAAATAATAATGATAATAACTTTAAGGAGGACATATGTTTAGTTGAATCATGCAGATTTTATTGCAGGTTAATGCAACAAAAAGGGATAAAAAGAGAAACTACTCCAATTCCAATTATATTAAAAAATAATTAGAATCTACCGTGAAGAGAATTCAATTAAACGCTATGTATTATTTATCGCGTAATAGAAGTCGAAAGTATGTTAAAGAAATCCCTTTTATGGGTCCATCAATTTTCATAAGACTGAATTAAATCAGTAAAGTACCGGCCTTTTGGGCTTTACCTTCTAAAGGGGGTTACTCTTTCGTCTAAATCGTTTTTGGTTCATTGTGACATAACAACGAGCGACCTATGTTTGAAAAAAATCAAACAACAATGCCTTTAAATAATCATTTCCCTTATATGAATATTTTATAGAGACCGTAACTGAGAACTTCGAAAAGAAATTTCATAAAACCCAAATCGCATTATTATTTCTTGAAGGAATATTCGATATTTTAAGTTTAGAGTCAGAGAAAGATGACTTTCTGCCTCTGAGGTACTGTCTTGTTTAATATTATGTGAAAAAAGCGAACCTTCACCTTATAAAATATTAAGTACACTGAGGGTTGAAAGTGAATTATTTTTCAACTGTGAAATCCAAACAATGTGAATCGATGCCAATTTTTTTAAATAGGAAAACAAATTTTGAATTGCTGCTTTAAGTCGCCCACGAACGGTTTTTCCCACTCCACGAAAGTTCGACAATTTTTCGCTCATTAAAATTTTTCCAGTCTTTCGAAACATAATTACACATGTACACTCATTTATTTATTCACACCGTAAAGCTTGAGCACTGAACAGAACAAAAAAGGCTTTACAAAGCAAATGCTAATTAAACTGTTAAAAAATTCTCTTTTTGCCAGTCCCTAAAGTTCATCAACGCAGAAACTAGCTGTTGCGAGAAACAAAAACTGTTTTCAATATAGTGTCAGACAGCTGTCACCTAAATAAAAGTCGTTTAATTTCTAAGATAAAAAAAAAAGCGTTTTGGAATTTTTTTGAGGTTTGCTTCATTTAACACGCCAAAAAATTGTTTTCCTTTTTCTTCTCTTTTTCTTTTTTTTGTAACCAATTAGAAGACAACAGCTCATAGGAATCATATATTTGATTTTTGGTTCGTAAGAGAGCTAACCAGATCCCCGCTAAAGGAATAAGAAAAAAAAAAAGGATATTTATCTGAACTGGAAAATTCAAAGGCGAACCACTTCTCCTTTACTTCAAGTTAGAAATTTCTTTTTCGGCAAAAATTCACGTATCCAACAACCTGAAAGAAACGTCGGTTAACTTAACCGAAATTCTACAAGACACTGATTTAAAGGGCAGAAGCTAATTAAACAAGGACATAAGTTTCCTTTTGTCCGCAACTTGTGCCCACAATAGGTTGCAGCTGCCTTGAGAAAGAGACATTTGGTCTGTGGCCCTCAACCTCCCCTCCTTAGTAACTAAGAAACCGCTCATGAGAGGGTCACCACACAGAATGATGCACTCATCATTTCCAACATCTAGGCCTAACTTGATTGACACGATGACGTAATTTTGAACTTACTGGCAGAGTCCAAATTTTATCAATAATTTTCCCCTTCAAGTGGCCATAAATTTAGATTTAAAATTGGTTCCGAGGGGTATAACACTATAACGCCATGATACGTAAGACTGACCAAGGGTCCTTAGATAAGCTGCAAAGGCGTGCCGCCAGTATTAATGAAGGCTACACAGTTTCACAACGGCAAATATCTCGCACATGCGGTTGGCCTACGCTCCAGTACCGCCGGGACTATCTAGAGTAAATGCTAGTGTTTAACAGCCTTCATGGCCTGGCTCCAGCATATGAATTTAGCCTATAACACGCGCCATAGAGATTTGGTCCGCCTGCCCCTAGCTAGGACAACTAAGTGCCAGGGCTCCTTCAGTTTCAGCGGAGCCAAGATCTGGAACACACGTCCTCTCGACCTGAGGAGCGAGCATGATATTAAAACGTTTACGTTTGGCCGAAAAAGGCACTTTAGATCTAAGCCTAACTGAGCCTCCCTTACTTATGTTATACTTAGTTCTACCATTTTTTATCCTTATTTGTCTTGTGTTTTGTTTTCTTTTTCATCAAGGTTCCATTCAAACCAGCCTCGCTAACTGGGCACCCCTGACTAAATATTGTTTAAAATAAATAAAATATGAATGCTTTCCACCCGAAAGGTTTTCTTTTAATGTGAGCAAATAGCTCATCTCAGCTTTCATCTCTTTCTCTCTCCAGTAGGAGATCGTTTTATTATTTTTAAACACATTTTGGTAAATATTGCTAACACTATGGTTACGAGATATAACGGCGGGATCGAGCTATTTTTAGACTGAAATGCGAGATTTATTCGTGCAAATTCGTATCAAACAGTACCAAAAAAGGAAAGCAATAAGTCTCATGACAATATCCAGAGACCTTTGGCATGAAAAAATGTTTAGTTTCTACATCATTTGGATGAAAGTGAATTTTCAAGCAATCCATGCTGGCGGCCATTTGAATAACGTCTCCGGCTACCATAATACTTATAATAACTTTTGGAACTCATTTTGGGTTAATCTTATGAAAATACACTAACATAAACTTAAGAGTCATTAATGCTTCTAATTCTTCAATTGCAGGGACCGGTACACTTGGCGTTCCGTTTGCTGTGATGCAAGGTGGATATATGTCACTGGTCGCCATTGTGGTTATTTCATTGATCACGAATTACACTGGGAAACTTATTATCGAATGTTTATACGAGAAGCCGTTTAATGATCAAGGCACGCGGGGAGTCCGTGTAAGGAATAGCTACGCATTAATAGGTAACACCGATTTTGCAGTAAAAAATAACTTGTAAGATTATGGATTCGTATAAGAATTAATGGCCTCCTCATTTCTCGATCTAATCTCCAAGCAAGCGAAACTGACCGCCGCAGTAAGCGCGTTCTCGTTCTACATGCAAAACGAAACGAATCAGGATGAAGTTGATCTCACTCCAGAGAACATTCCCGGGGCGAGCTTTAGTGAAAAAGAGATAGAACCATAATTTTTTCTATCTCCTCTTCACTAAAGCTAGCACCACGAAAGTCCTCTGGAGTAAGATCGACTTGATCGTCCGCCATATTAGTTATTTCAAATTTGCTGCGAGGGTTATTGAGCCTCACTTTGATGCAACTTCCGTTTTTTTTTTCTTTTTCTGGAATCGGAGTATTAGCTGAGCTTTTTTGCTCTCATTTCCCCAATTTTTTTTTTAGGAAAAGCCTGCTGGAAAAGGTATGGCTCAGGAGTCGTCTACGCTGCTCAAGTAATGCAACTTTCTTGCGCATGCGTACTGTACCTACTGCTCGTGGCCGACTTTTTCAACGACCTGTTTGAACACCACTCGCTATCGTATTCAGTGTGGACCGTCATTGCGGGTTTTATTCTTCTGCCTTCGGTGTTTTTGAACCAGCTTAAGCGTATCTCCTGGCTGAGCATGTTCAGTGTGGTTGCGCTTGTTATGGTCTATGTTGCTGTTATTGGCTTTGGTGTTGTCAATCGTTACAACTGGAATTTCAACCTTGGCGTAACCACCCTTGAGGGCTTCCCCGTCGCCTGGGGGATCATTCTGTTCAGTTTTGTGTGCCATCCATATCTTCCAGGTAATATGATTGTTCATGAATATTACAAAGGTGTTCTAAGGGACCCGTCATTATTTATCACCTGAGGGGTGGGGAGGGGGGATTTGGGGCTAAACAAGGTGACATTTAGCCGATTCCCCCTTTGCATGTCACTTCACTGAAGTGACCCCCCCTAATAACATTTGATGACTTTCGCTATCCTCCCCCATGCCTTTATTTTCCAAGCAAATTTGAGTGGTCCCGACCTCTGAATCCTGCCAAAGTTTTCATTGATCAAGACAGTCTCGAGTACACGCTGTGGATTCAGGATTCCTCGTACTGGATTAGGGATTCTTTGTCAGTGGAGCTTGAATTCCAGATTCCTTGTGCTGAATATTCCGGATTCCATAGAAAAGATTTCCATGGTTCCTGATTTTACAAGCAAAAACTTCCCAGATTCCAGAATCCGGCTTACCTTACATGTTACAAAAGTTCACTTTCACACCCGTCCTTCGACTGTGACGACGAAATGTTATTGTTTTTGATCAAAAGTAAATTCAAAAGGATAAGAAGCAATTTCTTTATCATCTGGATACAAAATACAGCACTAAAATGTTGTTCAATTTAAAATGATTAAAAAACAAGAAAGAAAAAAGATTTAGACATTTAACTTTCGTCATTATCAAGTCAAAACATATGTATTTGTCCCAATAGATATATATAGGAAAGTATATTTTCGAATATTAAGTAAAAGTTGCAATGGCTGACTTCAACCTGTTCTACTACTCTGTTAGGAAGGCTCTAATTTTGTCTAAAGTTTATCTCAGACATCGTTTTTTGGTTTTTAGGCATAGAAGAGACCATGGAGAAACCAGAGAAGTTTGACAGTGTCATGAATTATTCTTTTCTTGGCTCAGCGGTCGTCAAACTCGTGTACGGCTTCATAGCAGTACTCACATTCAAGGATCAAACGCAACAAGAAATCTCCGAGAATCTGCCCCCAGGCGCACTTCAGAACACCGCTAATTCTCTCCTGGGGCTAAATGGCATGTTTTCGTACGCGCTTCCTTTGTTCACTCTTATAACAATTGTCCACAAAGCCCAGATCACTTGCATTCCGTCCTGCTTCCCAGACGAACAGCATCCGCTGACTGTTAAAGAACGTGCAATGATCTACTCTCTGCGATCTATGTTTGTGGTATTTACAGTGTTGGTGGCGGTTCTCTTGCCCCAGTTTTCTCTCCTGATGGCAGTGATTGGCAGCATATCGGGCGTGTTGCTGACTTTGGTGTTCCCGTGCCTGTTTGACGTCATTCTTCATCTTGACCACATCAGCACGCGTCGTTATGTCATCAATTTACTTATCGTTTGTGTGGGGGTCTTATCAGGTGGTTTTGGGTTTGTCTTTTCTCTTATAGCGATTATGAAAATATATCTCAAATAATCAGCTATAAAATGAGAAATATTCCAGGACGGTATTATCTACATTAAGGCATTTCAAGTCGAGCTCGCCAAATAGCTTTTTAGTTTTTCTTCGTTCTCTCGCCGTACGAAGCAGCTATTTTCCTTTGGAACTAAAAAATAAATGCATGTTGTTTTAAAGTAGCTGGCAACAGCAAGAACAAGTGAAAACAATCCCTTTTAGATAATAGAAAAAAACAAGGGTAGCTGCACATAGCGTATGTATAGGAAAATATGGACCGAGTTTTAAAACTAAAATATTTAAAGGGTGGCAACAATGGTAAAAAAAAGATATGTGATAATAGGTGTGATCATTGTAACTACATTTAAATTCTGTGAATAAACCAGTTTGTTTTCTCGTAAAATTTTCCACACGTAATGAAAATTGCTGTAACGATAGCTCCGCTTTCCCAAGCACGTCTTGAATTTTGCAACTTCTGTTCAAGGGTTGGAGGGAATGGTCCGAGAAGAGAAGAGAACTTCCATGAAGAAGAAAGAAGAAACGGGCATGCACCCTGTCGTCTTGTTTTGCAGCATTGCTACAAAACGAGTTGAAAAGCTACGATACGCGTTTTACCGCACACGAATCAAACCTGTCTTGCAACAAATGAATGAATACTGACTTTTGATTGACAAAATTACGCCAGAGTCACGCCCTACACGGGAGTTACATAACATGCTGCAAAGCAAGCTTGCCTCGGCACGGTACGTAAAACGCGCAACATGTACCGATTTTGTCGCAAAGAGTAGAACTAATCTTTACCTTCTGCAACAAATGCTCGCTACCTGCAACAACCTGATTTGTTGCAAGACGGGTTTGAACGTGGCTAGTAAAACGCGCGACATCGCTATTCCATTCGTTTTGCAGCAAAGTTCCAAAACAAGTTGCACGCTTGTGTTGCCCGTTTTACCGTACCATTAGGGGGATGTTACACGAGACGATTCGCAACGACGATTTTTAGCACAATACAGCGTTGCAACATTGTTGCTATATTGTTTTGAAGGCTGGCAACATTGTTCCAACATTGCGAAGCTGTGTTGCGCTAAAAATCTTCGTTGCGAATCGTCCCGTGTAACATCACCCTTAGGGCTGTCCGTAATGACATATCTAACCTCAGAAGAAATACGTACGCGAAGGTAGCCCGCGTGACGTGATTGACGACTGAGGAATTCATGTGGTGGAAATTAGACCTCATGAATATTCAGGTTAACCATTTCTCACTAAGACCCTGTTGACATGGAGTGGGGGACCCCGGTATAGTGGGGTAGGTTTCTTTTGTTTTGTGTCCCCCAGAGCGTGAAAACAAAAGAAAGCAACCCCACTAGACCGGGGTCCCCCACTCCATGTAAACAGGCCCTAAATGTACCAAGACAAAGTGGCGACTCTTTGGGGACTCTTTAATTAAGTATTTCGCACTCTTATCATATTTATACAACGCGAGGAAACAATAACAAAAAAATGCCCTACTTTATGTTTTGGAAGTAATTGCGCTCTTCGAGCCGAAAGGAACGTTTCAGTACAATTTGGGTAGTCCTTCTTCTAGGTAAAGTAATTACACAGCAAAGCGGTAAAGAGACGTTGAAGTAAAAAAGAGTTCATCTTGAATGTCTTGATTGCCGGATTCAGTTTCAAGAAAAAAAGGATTAGGATAGAAAGTTCACGTGAAAACACCTAAGAATCGTTCAGGAAAATCGGCATTTCTTGGGAATACATGGTTCCTATATATTCACTTGATTTTTATTAAATACATGAAGAGCGATCCTTTTCATTATTTTTCTCACTTCATTTCCTTGAAAATTTCAGTTCATTATGTCCGGCTACCAGATGTGAGTATCTCTGACTTCACTAATGATGTGTCCTGCCCTTTGGAGAGCCTACAGAGAGATAAAAATTACGAATAGTTAAAAATAAATTATAATCTGAGGAGACTCGATGTCTCGATGACTCAATGTCTCGAGGATATTGTTGCTCTAGGTCAATGCTGCTAAAGTCATCAGTGCCTTCACCCATGCACCCAAATTATGTTGTTGTGGAGTTATGAAGTAGAGAGTTGAAAATACGACGCGCTGCGGAGTATTTTTGACGAACTTCGAGGTGTTTCATCACACTGTGTCGAATGCTTGAAATTATTTCTCAAACAAAATGATTTTACAAGGAGAAGTTAAGGATGCAAAAATGAGCAGTTTTTTTTTATCTGATTTCCAAACACTCATTTAATATTAATTTCCTTGGTACTTTCTTCAAGAAATATTAATGAGTTCGAGAAGAACACATCAAACAAATCTCATCAGAGAGCACTAAACAAAATAAGTTTTGGTGATTTGTTTTTGCAGGTATATCATGAAAACAATGAAAAAGTTGGCACGACTTTTTCAAGTTTCGATCAATGTCTATCCTTGCCATTCATAGCAACAGAGGACAGGAAAAATTTACCACTATTTTTGGAATTCAATTGATGTGAAGGCACGCTCTAGCTTTTTTAAAAAGAAAGCAAATAAAGTTTTTCATAAAATATTAATCAGGTTTCCTCAATTTTATTAGTAATTCCTAAAGAAAATACAAAGAAAATAAGCGACATTTAATTTATCACTTCTTAAAAACACTCAAATGCGCGTCTTATTTTAAACTCTCTGCTATTCATTTAGTTTCACTAACCGAGTTGATCAACTCGATTTACCACCGTAAAACTTGAAGATTGAAAAGCTGACACCAATAAAGCACCAAAGATTCTTTTGAAATTAACCCTAAACTATCAGGGAACAAACCCGATAGTGGCTTACACTCAAGTAAATGCTAAGTGGCCCCTGACTTTCAACATATTTGCTATCGACTTCTCATTTAAAAGTGATTATTTTCCAAATACCTTCAACATTTCCGTAGCCTCTTTTCTTTTGATGTGCATTTGTTCAGCTTCTTCAAGGAGCTTGTCAAATATTTCACTCTGCAATAAAAGTTTATTCTTATCAACCTAGTTTTAACACAGTTACGCATGGAAAGCACTCAATTCGATACCTAGGTCCAGGACTCTGGGGCAACATACCAAGCGAGGACAGATCGGCTGCTAGTGGCTGCTACCTTTGCAATTCGTAATTTTAAATTTTCTTAATTACGATTTTAATCACAAGATTTTAGAATTTTGATAATTATAAATGGAGTTTTTGTAGTATGTATGTTAGTGAGTCATCATTAGTAGTTTCTAATTCTAATCCGTAGTAGACTCTAGTTTCGACTCTATATTAATTCGTTTTGTATTTTTAGATTGTATTGTAGAAAGTTAGCTGTCCCCTATTAGCAGTGGGGAATCCCTTCTGCTAGATTTTTTGCTTGACACGTAAATAAAGTCATTATTATTATCATGATTATTACTATTATTATTATTATTAAGTAGGAGTTTAGAGCCCTTGCACTTGGTGCTTTGTTGTCGTTGTCTATCATCATCATCATCATCATCGTCATCATCATTATTATCACAAACTAACTTCTAAAGATACTTCCATGTGTTCTGATAGACTGCTAGCAGTCTTCTGGGATTACGGTGGGGGCGAACAGATTACATGCAAGAATAACCATCGGTTCGTCTAGATGTGCAAGCCCATTCTGAGCGCAGTCAAAGGCCCAAACCAAGTTGGCGGGACACCCTTTCTCGATGGTCGGGTAACCCACCAAGCGAACAAACCTTTCTCCATATAAACACTTTGACTCGCCCACCCGGATCAACTCGATAAAGACAAGACAATCAGAGCGCTATTATCAGTACTTGGCCAGGGCAAAGGAGTCCAATTTTTCTCATGTAAACACTAGCTAAAGTTGATTCGGCTAGGACGGTGACACTCTTTCGGTTCTTCGGCATATAAACGGCGCTTAACACGAGATAAATTTGTAAAAGCTAAGCAAAGTATGTCGAAGTTTAGATTTTAATTCTATTGGTTTCGTCAAAGTTATTTTTACAGTAGTACCACTAATATGCTGTTAGGCAACTAAACTTTTTGAGAGTTTACTAGAAATAACGCTCTGAGCGCGGGGAACTGCAGCTTTAGTTATTTTCGTGTTTTTTTTTTTCAGCACATGCCAACATACTTTACTCGAGCATGTAGCCAAAAAAAAAGAAGAATGACACGATAATTACATAAGGTGACACTTTAATTTGGAAGAAGAAGAATTCTAACACGAGAAAGCACAGAACTGAAGAAGAAAAAAATAAGGAACGAGTTCCAGGTAAGAATCGAACTCACAGCCCTCCGAGTTTCAGATGCTCTAACCATTAAGCTACTGGACGCTCTATAGTGAGCAGGGTCGAAATACACCAGTCATAGCCAATTCCCACTATTCCTTAGAACAGCATACAAGAACCGTACAATAAATATAGGCTTCATTGTAAGTTGTTCAGAGGTTGAGTAGGCATGAGAAAGTTTCCTTTATCCTATCCTGCATTACAAAACGTAACACTTTAATTTGGAAGAAGGAGAATTCTAACACCAGAAGGCACAGAAAAAAAAAAAACGAGTTTCAGGTGAGAATCGAACTCTCACGGCCCTCCAAGTTTCAGTTCGGTGCACTAACCATTAAGCTACTGGAGGCTTTATGGCGAGCAGCGTCGAAATACACCAGTCACAGCCAATTCCCACTCCTCCTTAGAACAGCATACAAGAACCGTACAATAAATATAGGCTTCATTGTAAGCTGTTCAGAGGTCGAGTAGGCATGGGAAAGTTTCCTTTACCCTACGGGTGCATTATGAAGATACTTTGAGAGGCAATATTAGGAAGATTACGATACCGTCCACGCGTATCCGTTTTTGTTATCTACTTTTAAAAAATTCAGAATCAAGAACACGTACAAGTGACAGCTAATGATAACGTGATTTCTTTGGGACAGTACTGCAATATTCATATTTTTCTGTCATTTCTCGGTTCCCTCTTAAAATAGTGCATCCTTTTCGAAATTTTCTTGCAGTTCTCCCTCCCCCCACCCTATAGAAAGTTGAAACTCAGAAAAAGTTCTGGATACACGCGTCCAACATTGTTTGTGGGGTGAAGGAAGGGGGTGGACCTGTGAGAATTGGAAAACGCCCCAGAAACGCAAAAGTGTCCCAAGACCTTTGTCCATGATTGTAGGTAGTCTCCAGTTCAAATCCTAAGCCATGCTAGTAAATAGCCACTTGGTTGCCTCCTGCTATACTAGTTTTAAATCCTAATATATATTTTATATTTATATTACTCATTTCAAATTATTTTGGTGGAGTTACCCTTAATTAGCTATTTGTATTAAAATAATTTTGTATTGTATTTTTACTCCATCCTTTAGATAATACATTAGTTGTACAATATCAATTAGTACAAGGTTGATTACACTACGTGTACATAATAGGAAAAAAAAAAGAAAAAAAGAAAGAAAGTTAGAATGGAGAAGGGCACATTATAGAAAACTAATTATGGCGCTTTAACAGGATTGACTTTATTCTAATATAGCTTTGTTATTGATTGAAACAACAACACGCACGCACGCACACACACACGCACACAAGTCAATATTGAGCAAGATTATATTTTTAAAGTGCCTTTTTGAACAGGATTTTCGATGATTTATTGCGAATAAAAAGGGGGAGATCGTTCCAATAGTACTTTCCAATGACGGTAGGGCAAAACTTTCGAATATTGATCTTGAGTGGGGAATGTGTAATTGCTGAGCAGATGCACTTCGTGTAAAATAATTATGTTGCTCAGATACAAGAAATAATGGAAAATTACACGGCTTATTATCAGAGACATAATCATATAAAAACAAACAATTGTAAATTTTAACAATCTCACGAAATTTTAATAAACCTAGATGAACATAATGAGGAGTGATATGATCTCTTAATTAGCTACGAAAGCATGAGCACACATCCACTATAACCAATCAACCAATCTATTAATCCAGTAATCTATCAATCATCCAATCTATTAATCCATCAATCAACCATTCTATTAATCCATCAATAAATCAATCACCTAATCTATTAATCCAGCAATCTATAAATCATCCAACCTATTAATCCATCAATCTATCAATCCCGCAATAAATCAATCATTCAATCTAATAATCCAGCAATCTATCAAGCATTCAATCTATTAATCCATCAATCAACCAATCTATTAATCCATCAATAAATCAATGATCTAATCTATTAATTCAGCAATCTATAAATCATCCAATCTATTAATCCATCAATCAACCAATCTATTAATCCAGCAATAAATCAATCATTTAATCTATTAATCCAGTAATCTTTTTATAACTCTATGTGATTTCTAGGAATTTTGAATTGCGAAGGGGTTTTGCTGGAATTTTGTATTGATATTGACGTTTTCTTTTTATGAATAAATTATTTTACTGAAGTTTTGCGCGCAGCTTTTTGTGAAGTATTGTTATTGTTAAAAAAATCTATTAATTCATCAATCAAACAATCTATCAACCTCTCAATATATCAATTAACCAATCCCTCCATCCATACCCTGAGGCGAAGAATACCTGTCCAAGTAACCCAGCTAAAGGAACGCCTTTTTACTCACCTTATAAAGTTTCTCTACAAGCTCACTTTGTATTTTTTCCTTAACAAAATTCACCAAGAAGTACATGATAGCCTTGGGAACACTGAGGAAACGAACCAAACTTTAGTGGCATGCATATCAATTTTATTTTATTTTTTCTAAGGCATCAGTATTTTTTTTTCTTTTTGAGCTTACAGAAACAAATAATAAATATTATTAGGAGGAGAAAAATTCTAAAAAGGTTCCTCCGAATGTTTGCAGTTACGACATAAATACAGTTGCAAACTTTGTAAGGGTTTTTCTTTTGGCAACAAATGTGACCTCTCATGAGGACCTTGAAGGCAATAGCTTGTTAACTTTGTGCTTGGAATTTCAAAATTAGCTTGAAGATTTCTGGATCTGTCTGACGGCAAACTGGCTTCTGTGTCTCAAAGCATAGACTCTGAGAGACCCAGGCAAAGGGGTTTGACAGTATCTAACAAATCAATAGACCTTTTTACCGATACGGCGGCCATATTGAATTAATTAGATTTAAGGAGTATTATGGGATGCCCAGAGGACATGGGCACGATCCGATATACTCGCTCAGTATTTACGCGCGCTTTTCAGGCCAATTTTTCTTTAAGTTTTCCTAGAAAAAGATTGTAATGAGAAAAAAGATCGTTGCGCCGTGTTTGGATGTAATAATGATCGCCTTTTTCCCGGGAAATATACATTGATGTTCTCTTTTTGCCCGAAAAGCGCGCGTAAATACTGAGCGAGTGCCCCCTGGGCATCCCATAATACTCCTTAAATCTTATAAATTCAGTATGGCCGCCGTATCGGTAAAAAGGTCTATTTGATGAGACTTAAAAACAACAACAACAACAACAACACGCTTGTTTTAAGGGGTAGTTTTAACCGGGTGTTGTTGAAATTCATATATTTTATGGCCACGAAGTATCTATTTATTGGACAGGGGCTTTGTCAAATAAGGGTTCGAGATATAGGGGGTTAGTGTAGCCATACGTTTTTGCTAGCTTGGCAGAAAGGATCGAAGTGAAAAATTAACGGCTATACTCGTACCTATCTTGAATAGATTTCCTTACAATCACGAAATAGGACTTGATAAGCTTACCTAAAACGTAACGAAAAGAAGAAATCAATACCGCAAATGCTATGCACTTTTAAAAACGTTTTCTTGTACAAACCGCTGTAAAACGCAAAATTAATAACTTACTCCCGTCTAAATCTTGCACAGTACCTATTGGTAAGCATGGGGTTATTACAAAAGGAAATCTGTAAAACTCACGGATAATGTCGGAATCCATTTGCTCTCTGTCTGTTAAACCTATCTGCCTAAACGACGACGGTAAGGCCTAGAGAGAATGCAGTGTTGAGCAAAGGTCAGTACGACTTCTAACAATACTCGTAAAGCTACTTGCAGCATTGGTAGACGCTACGAAAATGCCGGAGCAACAAAACTATCAGTTTGCACTCTACAACTTAGACACCATGATGTTCTGTTAACAATTACTGACATATATTTTTCATAATTTATAAAGCTTTTGTTTAAAGAAAAATCAAACACAAGTCCTTCTTAGTTGTTCACACGCGATGGCTCGTACTTTCCAACTACTCAGGCACAAAGCGCACCGTCCTCTTACACTGTCCTGATATCAGGGCTGTTGATAACCAATTAGATTAGAAATTTTTGCTATAGTTTAATATGGTTAATCACGACCTTTTGACCATTTACTACTGGTCTCCATTTTGCAATGGTGCCGAATGACAGTGCGAGACTATAAGTGGCAGCCGACTGCCAAAGCAGATTCAGTATGGAGAACTCTGTCCGGGCAAGCGTTCCGTTTGGAGGGTAAAAGAAACGTCTCAAAGACTGCTTCAAAGAGTCCCACAAAGCTCTGCACATCAACCCCAGTACTTGGGAGGGAGTCGCTTGCCCAGGACCGTCCAATTTTAGTCACCACTGGGGTCCATGCGGCAAAAAACGGAGTCGGTTTTTTGCCGCATGGGCCCCCAGTGGTGACTAAAGTTGGGCGACGACGGACCGCAGAAGCACAGAGGAAACACGCCAAGCGCAAAGCCAGAGCAGACTCCACCAACACTACAGCACCCACACACTCATGTTCCATGTGTGGGCTCGGATTGGCCTCACTAGCCATCTACCGACCCACCGCCGCTAGTCTTCAGTCTAAAGTCATGGTCATCTTCGACTTTTTTTCGAAGGACGAAAAACATAAGTGGAACAGTGACTGAGTGCATTTCAATCTTCTCTCAAGGTAACTGAACTGCCGTTGAATTTTTCCTTCGGAAGTGACTCAATCCATTTTCCTGTTCATCAAGTATTGTGGCGAGCTCGTTTTACACTTTAGTGAACAGATTTCTGCGAAACAAGGGTGGCGCAGTGGTGTCAGTACCACCAATGTGCCCGGGTTGAAATCCCGGCGACGACACCGAATGTGGGTTGAGTTTGTTCTTGGTTTTCTCCTTTCATCCGAGAGGTTTCGCGCAGGATACTCCGCGAAAAACTAATTCTGGAACGCACTGTCACATTTAAACGAGTCCTTAAAATACTCCTAAATGCTTCGAGGGTAAACAACTTTCAATTATAAGTTTTAAAATTTACAATCCCAACATACCATTTCTTCGGTTGCCGATTTGCTTGGTCCCACAACTGCAGTTGTTTTGTCCGCGCTGGGCTGGGCAGCAGTGCTGCGAATACCTGGGACCCAAGACATAAACCCTCCACTTGAAGTCGAGGAAACAGGATTTTTATCAACTGGCGCAATGGGGGCGAAGGATGTGTTAGCGTCTCTGTCAGGGCGGTGAGTAGGACTGGAATCTGGAGTGGAAGTCTGGGATCGAATCCCCTGAAACAAATTAATTTACTATTAAATATAGCAAACGTTAAGTATGATAGCCTACCTACACCCCAACCCTCCGCCCACCCCACCCCCTCCCCACCTCCTTTTTTTCTCCCTGCGTTAATTAATTGTGAAATAAATATATACAGACTTGAATTTACTGAGGTGGAAGGCAAAGTAAGTCAACCCTTACCCTGCGGAGCAAAACGCCAACGAAGATTAAAACTGGTATATTTTCGCCCAATAAAGAAGGTAGAGAAAGCCTCACCTCAATTGGTCCATTTACAAGAACACTTTGTGACAACTTGCTTGCACGTTTACGTTCCTAGGAATATAAAAAGAACAAAAATTAAAAACAAATAAATAAAACAACACAGACATTTGGTTTTATTGACTGGGCTGATAGGCAAATTTACAGACACTAGGAGGAGATTCGAGAAATGACGTCTCTTCGAGCTTTGACCTTCAAAGCAATTGAGAGGGAAAGCATTGTCTCGATTATGTCGATAACTAATTTTTCTTAATTACTTTAGCCCGACTAAAGCCTCGATACATACCATTTCATGATTCATTGCAATAGAAGATACAAGCGATGCACCATCTGTGAAGTCTGGGTGATTGGTGTTAATATAGGACAGTTCAATTTGCACCAGATTTTCTACCTACAAATCAAGTGAATCAATGTTTACTGTTTGATTTGTTTCCTACAAACTGCTTGTTTATAATTATACAGTCAATCTTCAATCATCGTCAAAAGTGTTGAGAAGGCTGCTTTTTCCTTCCTGCCCCAATATTGGGCAAGTAATGGTTCTGTAATATCCCAACGTTAAACAGGGGGAAAACTCTCTTTTTTGAGGATTAAAATGGACTACCGTTAAGTTGTGCAACCTTCCCAACTACTTTTATCTGAGATTGTAATTTTAAATGCAGACGGCGAATCTATAAACTGCAGCGAGAATGGGTACAAGCTAAGCCGTCGCCGAAGTATCTTCTGAGATCGTTTGGAAGGACGAGCGTTAGCTATGATTGGTCGATAGTATGCAAACAATTTTACTAATCATACCAAAAAACCATTCCAGAATGCATTGCGCCTCGATCAGAACCTCATTTTTGGGAGCTTCAGCGTCGACGACGGCGACGGAAGCGAAACCGTCACTTTTAAAAAGAATTCGCGTTTATTCAAACTTTGTCCCGTTTATTCCAGTTCGCCGAAAATGTCAGATGTAGACATTATAACAAACGATTATGCTAATGGAGGACTTAAAATGATAGACATACAGTCTTTTAACAAGTCCCTGAAAGCTACATGGATTAAAAAATATCTGGATGAAGAGAACCAGGGAAAATGGAAATATTTTTTTGATATAGAGTTAGAGCGATTTGGAGGCACAATAGTCCTCACTAGTAACTTAAACAAGAAAGATACCATTGAGAATCTCAAGATTAAGAATAACTTTATAAAAGATATACTTTCAATCTGGGCGGAAGCCAATTTTGATGAAAACATAACGTCCGAGAAACAATTTCTTGAACAAACTTTATGGCACAACTCACTCATTAGAATCGATAACTGTCCCGTCTTCTATCGTGAATGGTTTGATCGAGGCGTTACGAAAGTGAAACATTTGAAAGATGAACATAACAAATTTTTATCACTAGCTGAGCTGCAGCAAAAATACAGCCTCAAAGTTTGTCTTTTAAAGTATTTCGGACTAGTGTCTGCTCTAAAATCTCTTTGGACTACATGTAAAACAAACTGTATCAAAAACTGCAACAATTATGAACCCTTTGTAGTAAGATTAACAGAATGCCAAAGTGCGAGCAAACTTGTATACACCAAGTTGCTTTCTACAAAATGCAAGTTACCATCCCATAATCAACAGAAATGGCTAAAAGACTGCAACGAAAATGATGTGGAGGCGATTAATTGGCGGGAAGCCTACCAGTTGGCCGCTAAATATACTAAAAGTACAAGAATTATTGAATTCCAATATAAATTTTTACATAGACGAATATCAACGAACGACTTCTTAACAAAAATTGGCGTAAAAGACAACCCAAATTGTTCTTTTTGTAATAATGAACCGGAGAAACTTCTTCATCTTATTTGGTCTTGTCCTAAAGTGGCCTTTTTCTGGCATAGTTTATCTCCTAAGCTGACTTTGCTCCACATTACACTGGAACATTACACATTAGATATATTTGTTGTACTTGGTCTAAAGCCGGATTCTTCAAAAAACTGCCAGCAAATTAATTTCCTTTTCCTTCTAGCCAGAAATTACATCTGGATTAGCAAAAGAAGGGAAACCTCGCCAAAGATAGCAGGCTTCCTGCAATACCTCAAATCATTCTACCACATAGAGACCACTGCAGGTCCCATTTTACCAAAAAAATGGGAAAATGTGAGCTCCTTATTTCAGTAAGCCTTTGATTTTGTATACATTTGTATATCTCGATCCTCTGCTCATTTTCTCCAGCATTAACCTGGTGTATCTTTTGCTTCACAATCGCTGCCTCTTTAAGCTATCAGTGCGTTTACCGTGAATGTTTTTTTTTGTTTTTGTTTTTTTTTTAAATATAAATGTTGGTTTTGAAGTACAATTACTAATTAGAACTGCTTGTAAATAGTGCATTGTAGTGTGAGTAGTGAGTAGGTAGTGTTGTAAGCACTGAGTATTGTAAGTCTTTACATTGTAAACAGAGTAAGTACCTTAGTCTATTGTATTAGTCTGGGAGCAAATGTGGTCTCGTGTGAAGTTCGTGCTGAAAGCAAGCACCTAGTGTAAAAGTGTTAATTAGGTCCTACTAAACATGAAAAGTTTTGGTGCCAGCTTTGCAACTTGCTCAGACGGCTTTTAAGGGGGGGTTAAATTCTGACCCATGAAATCCAGCATGGAAACGAGGCTAAAACACATAATTCCTCATAACTTTGTTAATAATAGACGAAAATACACCAAACTTGCTCACATGATTGTACATGATCCTCCCTGTTGATTTATGCTAATTTACATAGGTCACGTGACCTTACGCATGAAAGCGAGGCTGAAACACATAATTTTCCATAAATTTGTCAAAAAAGATCCTTATCATGCCAAACTTGCTCACCTTAGTCAGTTAGACATCTTGCATCGATTGGTGCCACTTTGTAGTGTCATGTGACCCCATACATGAAAACGAGGCTGGATATATCTTGTAGCATCCTGTAGGATGGCATTTGTCTTGCCAAATGTATTAACAACTTCTAGGCAGATACATATCTGGTTATCCGAGTTCAGATGTAAAAACTTCAACTAATCATTGTCCTATGGCCCATAGCACAGGGACGAGACGGATAAAGCAAATACTGCGGAGGCTCCATTTGAGAATCTATCTTGTACACATAATCAATAATTTTGCCAACTTATGATACTGGTTCCATGTATTCATTTTCGCATGTATATTGGAACAAGGGCAGAAAATGAAAATAGCGACTACTGCTATTTTATATATACAGTCATGAAAGTCTTACTGAATATCTTTATACATTGTTCTGTTGTCCATTCCTATGGAATTTCCTGTTCGACTTCGTCTTCATCATACTCATCATCACTCTCAGCATACTCGTTCTGGCAATCTTCAGAGCACAGACAGAGATCGGTACAGACAAGTCCGGCTTTTTGACACTGACAACGGTTGTTAGAGCAACGGGACTTGGCGCACTTGCATCGGACAAGCTGTATAATTGCCTCTGGAGCTGGTGGAAGATTTGTCATGACTGGTACCCACTTTCCATCTTCATCTTGCCATCCATAGCCTTCTGGTGAGGGCAACACCGGGTTTGCTACATGATCGTTGTTCCAAACAAGAAGCTGGTAGAGCGCTCTCAGTATGGCTTGATGGAGAGCAGCTTGTGTGGGCGGCAACCTCTCAGACTCAGCTTGATTTTTCTTAAAGAGGGACCATCTGAGGGCTTTGACAGTTTTGATGTCTGTCTTTGGTTTGTACATCCGACAAACCAGCTGTTCCACTCCACTTCTTGTGCCGTCATCTGGCTGTTCCCCACAACCGAGGTTAGCAAGAGCTTGCAAGATAGGAGTGCTGGCGTTATCAAACTCATCCCAACAAGTGGCTTTTCCCTTTCCAGAGAAACTCCCAGTAACATCTGCTCCGGTCAACGCATGAAATGCTGGCAGCGCAGCCGTCTTAGTGGGCCCAAGGACGTCTGCGATTGACTTCAAGTTGATAACTCTACGACTACTGCCGGTCCCAGTAACAAAGCAAGAGTTTGAGCACAAATCTGGATACCGTCGGAGAGCCAAAACAAGAACATCAGTGTCAGGAGAATATATAGAGAGTTGGGTAGCACCTTGAGCAGAGGCATCCAGAGCATGTAAAATAATCTTCGTGTCGGCTTCTTCTTGTGTACTTCGTAAATGCCTGACGTCTCTGCGCGTTGCCTCACATTCCGTTCCCCATGCCACAACGACTTGTCTCCCATTAGCATTATCCTTCACATTCTTTGCGAGAAACGTAGTAAGTTCGCCCTTGGTCTTTGAATGAGCAAGAAGCTTCTTCATCGGCACCTTGGCGATGTGGGTAGAATCAGTGATGCGATAATAAATGGGAACATGGCCACCTTGTCGTTTGACTCGTGTTGCTGATTTCAGTGAGGATGGTACGTCATATCTGTCGAAGATTATGTGGAAATCTTGTAAATCATTATACTTTACAAGCAAGCGATTCGTGAAATGTTCAGCCAAGTCTCTACAGTTCTTGATCCACTCTGGCTTGTCAAGTGATTGGACTTCGGCCATTCCATCAACAATCGCGACTTTGAATCCTGCGGTGATTTCTTGTGTATTAGTACTAGGGCCACCTGCCTTCTCTAGGATATGCATAAGGGCACTCTTGCAAGAACAATGCAACATGGTACCATCTCGTGCAAACAAAGATCTTGGGACAACAGTGAACTCATATAAGCCAACAGCCTCTTGGATGTCAATTTCTGGGCGGCTCTTGCACACCATCGCCAAACGAGCAAACAGATTTCTGTCCTCCTTTAGCTCGATGATCGTGTCTTTAGCTTTGACTTTGATGACCTTAGCACTCGTTTTCCAGGTAAGAAGATTGCGCTTCTTTACAGGAGCCCAGAGGTTGATCTTTCCTGTCTTGATCCTATCTTGTACAAAAGCACTCAATAGCTTTCTCCCTTCTTCACTCTGATTAACAAGATCTTTCTTCGTTTTCTCATTCATCACAACTTTTGTGACCAAGTTGTACAGATCGGTGTTGGTGTTCTGGTCTGATGAAAAGGGATTGGTGAAGGTCTTGATTGTCTCGGTCAACTTATTTATGCTGTTATCTTCGTGCGTCAAAACAGCTGAGTTTAGTTCTTGATGGTGTGCACGTTCCGGAACGAGACCCGCCATTGCCTTGGCTTCTGCTGTGAGTCGGGCTAGTTCTGGGGCAATGAGGAAAAACTTGGCTCGTGCGCTCTCATTCAAAGTGATCCCTACAAGCCCACCAGAAACTTTCATAGATCGATTGAGGTGTTCCAACGCAGTATCACCACCAACAGCACAGAAGGGAACCTCCTTGTTCTTGTTCACTACCCAGTTTCCTGTGATGAACTCTCCATAGATCTCGGGGTCTGATGATTCGAGGGATGCCATTTCAGCTAGGTACAGGGGGATCATCCTTAGATAACAGATCTTGTCGTGCACAAAGAAGTACTTTGTGAACAACTCCAGTGCAATTAGATGGAGCTTCCAATCACCACTGCGGACTGCCTGGATGAATGCGAACATCTCCATTACCATGCGCATGTATTGGCGAAATACAGTAAAGAGAGGATTTGTGGCATTCGCAGCGTCAAAATCAGACATCTTCTTGACTACTTCAGAAGACTGGATCGCGTCGGTAGAGCTATGGTGCGCCGTCTGGATGTTCTCCTTAGTGCCTTCTTTGCACGCATCTCCAACTTTCGTAGAGAGTTCCTCGAGGGTACGACGTACATCAGGAGAGCCTTCTAGAAATGCTTCCAGGTATGAGGAAAATAAAGCCTGTAAGGTGATCATGTGTGCTCTTTTACCGCGCTTAACATGCTTGCCATCGATTATCTGTTTAACAGTGGAGGGGCCATAAAGTTCCGACTCGATCCAGCACATGTCTATCCCGCTACTGTCAATATATGACCCAATGGTCCTCAGCATAGCCATAACCACATGCAGCTCCCCTGGTCGAAGGAGAATGTTCTTGAGTTCGCATAGGGCCATCTGTAATCGTTTGGCGGGCAGATACAAACCAAGGTCTAGCGATATGAATGTTTTCCTCCCGGGACCGACTACTCTAACAGAGATATTTTGAGCACGCATCAGAACTGTGAGGAGCGTGCTCCATGCATGAGCAGGATGTGCCAACAATGGAGGAGCACCGACACGTGTGACAGGTAGTGCTTCATTTACCAAAGAGTTGTACGCTGACCATACGGGTACAGGAGGCGGATCATTATCATCATCACTTAGGGCATCATGGCCTGTGAGAGTACGAGACACTATCCAGGTAGCATTCTCATCACGGATGTTTTGGGGCAACTCTTGTTCTGATGACAGCTCAAATGTAGGGTACGCAGGAGAAGGGGGCCTTGATGGCGGCTCCACGCATGGCATTAAAGATGTCAGCGATTCGGGCAGTTCTGTTACAGAACGGCATGAATCATTTGGCTCCTCTAACCTATCAAAATGAAAAACAAAACGTAACAACAACTACTTATGAAGCAAAATGCTGTTCAAGAAGGGGATCTTTTCTATCCTACATCCTAGAAATGAGATTAGCTTTTAACTTACTAGCTAGTCGTATTGAAACAAAGAAAAACCTGAATCACACAGACCAGTCATGCCAAAGTAAAAGTAAAATTAAACGTCTATTATCTAATTAACCCCCCTCCCATCGAGCACTTGGGATTAAATGAGTGCATCATGCTTCTTAGTAGAACAGTTATGGTACCTTAATACAGGTTCTTCATCTTGGGGTTCCACTTTCTGATAAATAGCCATTGCTGTGCCGTGTAGAGTACGCTTCCCGTCCGGCGCATCCTCTGAGAAATCGATATTATCAATAGCAAAATATACGTGCCGTCCTTTCACGATATCCGGAGGGAGAAACATGCCACCTTCACTCTCTATGCGCTCCAGGACAGTTTTCTCAATTTGTGACTCCACCCTCAACAAGCGATTGTACTCTACAGCCATGCCAAATCCATGGAGGAGATTAACCAGCTCTTTGCTTCGTACTGCTTGGTGTATTGCTAGGCTAACTGCGAGGTGTTGGGGCATTTCTCTAGTGCAGTACACCGCTTTTGACCTCTTATCGTCAACATGCCTGTCCGTTAGACACAAAGCTTCTGTATTCTGCGCTAATTGCATTACTCTTTTGTGTACCTCATTGCACTTTTTATCAGATAGTGTCTTATTGGGACCTTGGATTATCCACCTAAAGAAGCAGGTAAGCTCTTCGGGGCAGTGATCATGTGTCATTGTATCCAGAGAGCCAGAGAAGACCCATTTCTCGCTTCGATTAATAGCCTTTCTCAATATTGAAGCGGCATCGAAGAGAGTTTTCATAGATTCATCACTGTCAGCTGTGGATTCTACGATATGGATAGCGGCATCTCTACACTGCTTTACGCTGACCCTCTCGGGATCATTAGCTCTAGTGGGCTTATGGAACTCAACTCCCTTTATCTCTTTCTGGATAAGCTCTTTAACTGAACGTCGACTTAGAGTCTTTGGACTATTGTTCTCGTTTGAAATGGAATCAAAAGCCTGTTCCAAGTGTGCCATGTTGAGTATTTCTCCGCTATCGAGGGCAGCTTGGGTAAGGTTCAAAAACTCCAGCTTAGCCGCTGTCTCACTTCTTGACCTTTCCTCGTCATCTTTGATAGTTTTACGCAGGACCCCAGTCACATGCTTCGCCCAGCAGCTTTTATGATATTTAATATCAATGGCATGAACGTCAGTGCTGTCTAGAGCCGTCGAGAGCTTCACGAGCAGTTTAGGATCCTTTGATTGCTTTACTGCATTATCAAGAGAGCTACCAGCAGATGATGTTGACACCAAATGCAGAGGGTTCTGGTACTTCGCTTTCTCTTCACAAAAGAAGCACAGATTGCTGTCATAAGGGACGGTTTTCGACCTTGTAAGAAGACCCTGGTTAGTGAAATGAAATGAAATGTTTTGAGATGTCAAGGATGTCATTACCTTTTCAGCGATTCCAAGATGAAAAACACAATAAAATAAAAAGTTAAAGTTATAAGCCATTACACCTAGCAATTACCTGAAGCGATTCACTTGTCTTTCTTCGAGCTTCATTTGGCCCTCTAACCTCTCTCTAAAACCTCTCTTTTACTCTCTTGATCTTTCCTGAGTGCGTGGTTTCTTGGTAGCACGACCTATGCCATGTTGCTTTTTCTTTAAGCTCTTCTAGTGGTAGATCTTTAAGCACAAGCCACAATGTTTTCGAGTTGATGTCTTCGTACTTTGAACGTTCTTCGATGGCTTCTAAAAGCTTTTGATGGGAAGTTGGATTTTCAACAAGATTGGCTGTACTTTTTTCTTGGCAGATTACACATAGCTTAAAATCTAAAGGGGCATTAGACCGGCCAAAATCCGTCATACTACAAGCACTGTGATGACTGTAAGTACAACATGGCGGACACTCAAATAATTACCGCTGACCAATAGTTGAGGCTCACAATCACCCAGGCCCCCTAGGTTAAGAATCCACAGGAATTTGTGCGAAATAGGATTGTAGAAATCGCTCATAATAAAGTTATATAAGCCACACGAAATACATTATCATTACACCATTATAGCTTTTATTTCTTTCATTCAAATGCTATACATACAGCATTAATATGCATTACAATGAGTCAACGTTATTGTCCTGGATGATGTGTTCACCTTTGGCGTGTTTTGCAATCCAGGCCTCATTTCCATGTATGGGGTCACGTGACACTACAAAGTGGCACCAATCGATGCAAGATGTCTAACTGACTAAGGTGAGCAAGTTTGGCATGATAAGGATTTTGTTTGACAAATTTATGGAAAATTATGTGTTTCAGCCTCGCTTTCATGCGTAAGGTCACGTGACCTATGTAAATTAGCATAAATCAACAGGAAGGATCATGCCCAATCATGTGAGCAAGTTTGGTGTATTTTCGTCTGTTATTAACAAAGTTATGAGGAATTATGTGTTTTAGCCTCGTTTTCACGCTGGATTTCATGGGTCAGAATTTAACCCCCCCTTAAAAGCCGTCTGAGCAAGTTGCAAAGCTGGCACCAAAACTTTTCATGTTTAGTAGGACCTAATGAACACTTTTACACGAGGTGCTTGCTTTCAGCAGGAACTTCACACGGGACCTTATTTTATGACATTTGCTCCCAGACTATATTCTAAAGATTGTATTGTAAGTAGTGTAAGTATCGTAGTGTTTGTAAGTATTTTTGATTGTTGATTGTTGATTGAATAAATGTTATTAAAAATAAAAATAAAAAAATAAAAAAATAAAAAAAAAGATGTAGACGAATTTCCCTGGAGTGCATTTCTTGAGGACCGCACTCAAGTTTAGAACGAGAAACAAAAATTCGTCGCTGCTTGTTTACGTGCTCCATGAAACGTGAAATTAGGCATTTTCATGTCCTAGTCGTGCATGGATAGTAAAGAAATGTACAAAAAATCGTGATGCACGTACAAAGTTGTTGTTTTGCTGGTGCTTTTTGAAGTCCTCGTTGCCGCCGCCGAAGTCCTTGCTAAAGCTCGCTTTTGTCTTCTTGAGTACGCTAAAATCGAGTAAGCGAAAAAAAGACTCTTCTGGAACAGACTGCAAAACAGTCTTTTTGCGTATTCAAGTGCGCGCGAGCAGTCGTGTGAGGCTCGCACGCTTCGCGCGCTTTAGACTCTTACGCCACGCTTTACCGATTTCTTTACTGATTTTGAGAAAAAAAACCGACTGTTTTGCAGTCTACTTCTGGAAGGGTACTAGAATATTCAAAATTTGCACTTAAAGTTACCATTTCGTTTGTGGAGGGTAATCTTCGCTGCAGCAGATTTATGACCACCTCGACAATCTTGTCATGAAGACGAGGAAATCTCTTTACTTCCATAACCTGTAAAAGGGGACTGGATTGTATTTAAATGGGCAGAACGCCAAGACAGACACAACATATCAGCCATAAGGGAGAAAGAAGCTTATATAGTCAGTACAACTACTTATATCTGCCATGGATTCAACTCGGAACTAAGAGTACTTTAATTTCCAGCGCAAGCAACAAACTTTGTTTTCAGACCCAGCACTGAGTTTCTACTGTCTTTCAGACATTCGCTTTATAGTCTATTCCAGGCGTTCAGATTGTGGGACGGCGCTAAGAGATGTGAGCAGAAAAACAGCGAAGGGGTGGGGTCGCGACGCGCTCCACTCTCTGAACGCCTGAAACAGGCTATTCGCTTTACTACAGTTGTACCGTTTTACATCATATTTCTACGTAGTTTCCGGCAAGCGATAGATGCTTGATCCCCACCACACCCTTCCAATATCCAGCTTAACGTCACTCTACTTTCCTTCCATGGGGCGCCTGTTCAGCAAACATTTGGGGTCCCTGGGAAGCTAATGGTTACCTGTGTAAAAGCATGCTGAACAATTCTCTGCATCTCCTCATGGACGAGCTCCACGCAACGGAGACTGGGTTCCTCTAGCCTGCGGATCTGCCTTTTTACCAGCAGCTCAAACGAAATCTCCGGTACAAATAAGGCGGGACGAGGACCCTGCAGCGAGAATCGCGAGGAAAGAAAAGAAAATTACGTGGAAGAAAATAAAGCCGGCTTCACTGATTAACAAAGGTGTCTTAATAGGAAAAGATAAAAGTATGTTTGTTTTGTTTTTGTTGTTGTCGATGATATTATTGTCTGTCTGTTGGTTTAATATTTTATTGCTGTTGTGCGACAACACTTGCATCACGCCATGTCGACTCCAGGGAGCGCGAAATTTATCATTAGAGAGAAAGAAAGAGAGATCGGTCCGAGGTTGATTCTATTCGCCTTCATAAATTCAGCAAAAATTCTGTCAAAATTTTGGATGTGTGGATCGCGTCCTTAGATTCACAGTAACCGCTAATTATAAAGGCAAACAGCCGAAAACTTTTTCTGGTTCGCCCGACCAAAACAGTTGCCTTGGGCAGCTATATGTACTTCCGAAAACAAAAAATTATCTCCAGGAATGAATATTGATTTTTCAGAGTTATACATCTTGTACTTTCTGATCAATGGCCAGTGACGAGTACAGTGTATCTGAATGCCAAGAAATAATAAAAAAATGCTCCATTTGTCGAACTTGATCATGAACTGACAATATTGGCTGAAGTTACTAACCGTTGCATTTCTGATTGCAGTAAGAATATCCCTGGTAGCTAAACCTTCCATCGCATCCATTTTTTCTAACGTCCGACCGAAGGTATCGTGGAAAATGTAGCAAATTCTAGCCCCTCCGCATCTACAAAGGCAATGATAAATGACAAAGCAGTTTTTTGTTTTTGTTTTGTTTTTTTCAAGCCCAAGTTTTACAAATGGTTGCTCAAACAGTGCCCAAATAATACCTGAACAATGGCAAGGAATTTTTGCCCAGAGGAGTTGTCGAAGACACCCAGATCAAGTAATTAAAAGACTGCTTCATTTTTGAAAGCTTGATGGCACGTTTACAAGCTTGATGATGGCGGCATAAGGGAAAGTTATCCTATAATTTTAAACGTTCGTGGATAGTCTAGAAACGCGTCGCCTAATATAGTTAACGGACTTAATGTGAACAAGGAATAAACAAGAGCTTGCGAATTTATTCAACACATGTAAGTACTCAACAACACTCACAATTCGGAAGTTTCAATATCGCGCGCAGTTCCTTCAATTATCGCACAGTAAGCAGACGCAAATCTTGTTATAAGTTGAAGAAGCATCGGGCCCTGTTAAAAATCATAAGTTAGTGCATCACGGGAGAGGGCATTTTTGAAAGGATGCAGAACAATGACGCAAAATAAAAAGTGGACTTTTCAGAAACAAATGTAACGGACTGTCGTTCTGGAAGAGTATGGAATCCAGGAGTTTTCTAGGGGTCCATTGTAAAAAGAACTTCCATACCGAGGTTTGAAAAATTTATTAATACTGTAAAATACAAACAAGTCCTTATAAATTGATTGGATATGACAGTTTCTTGAAAGTAGTTGAAAAAAGAAAACACATATTGACCCTACAAATTTGGAACGAGACTCTTGGGTATACTGAATTAAGTTACGGCTAATTGTATCCTTACTTTTAAAAGTAATGCTACATGTACATGGAATCCAGGAGTTTTCCAGGTAACCACTGTTGAAGAACTTCCGAGGCTTGAAAATTTTAATGTAAAATTCAGCCAGCATTAAATTTAAAAAAAAGTCCAAAATTCAAATTTGCAGAATCCTTAAACTGGAAAAGAAATCTTGCTATGCAAAAAAAAAATGTTTGCCTCGGCAGAGAGAAAGGAAACACCCTAACGATTTTGTCCACGGTTCAAAATTATGATGATAAATCCCTCACAATCTAGTAGTGAAAGGTTATCAGAACACATTACCTTGTCTTCCACTGGTTCTCCGTAGCTTTGGAGTAGATGCTGATACTGTGACGTCATGGTATTAACACGTGACTTCAGCTCGGGCAAACAGTTCCTAATATGGTGCATCAAAAGCTGCAAAAATAAGAGTTATTTTAAAAATCTGAGAATGAAACATTTCAGATTAGTTTGCATGAGAGGCACTTTCTGTATATAGGAGAGCACGAAGCTGGAGACATTAGTGAGCTTACACAACGGAACGTCACTTACTAGAAAGAAGAGGACGGCAAAACGTTCGACTTCGTGACTCAAAAACGTGACAGGGCTCTTACGTGCGTGTTTTGCTGCAATCTTCACTTAACATTACTGTGTTCTGGTCTTTTCCAAAAAGATCTGTTAAAAGGAAGGTGGAGTTTGGCGAAATATTATTGTACGCTTAGGATTCGTTGTTTTCTTTGCTCTCCTGTCTTGCTGCGTAAGTTCACTGTTATATCTCAAGCTTCCTGCTCAATACGCCAAATAACACCGGCTATTAATGTACTGTTACCAGCAAGAGGGCTATCAGGTCGTTTCGCCCGAAAGTCGATTCGCCCTACGGCAGTTCGCCTGGACGTTAGTCGATTCGCCAGCTGTGAATTTGTCATGATTTGCCGTTCTGAACCTGAAAAACCAGAATACGCCTAAAAGACATTGACTGCGCATGTGGAATCGAAGGTTATCTAAAACAAAATCGCTGAGAGGTAAGTTTCCAATGTTGTAGGGTGTTGAACGTCATTGGGCGAATCGACTTCAGTCCTGACGAATGACGTCGGGCGAAAGGACTTTAAGACGAAATTATTTTTACCTTGTTAAGAGTTCGTGAAAGGTACGGAGTACCATTCCTTGATGCTAATGCTGGGTAATTCTTTTGAAAGAAGAGTGCTTCATCCCTCAAGGCAGCTTGAATAGACTGTAAAGAGCAAACTTCAAATTCAGTCACACCATTACACTTCCCAAAAGAACGACTGTTTACCCATGCAAGTCGAGCAAGGAGTGAACACATAGCCTGCGAAAACACCCTTTTCTCCTCGCTCCTCTTCGCGAAACGTCCCTAGCGGCGAAGAGCGAGGAGAAACGGATGTTTTCGCAGGCAAGTGAACACAGGAGTAGGGGCAAACAAATTCAGCAAAGTTCTCGGTCGAGATTTCAAGTCAAGTGCACTATCTTCTTGGGCTATCTATACCAGTGTATAGTATACATGTAGTATCCGGTACATTATGAACACCTGTATCCGACATCTGACTCTCCACTTTAGAGATTGACGCGGCGCAAAGCTTCGATCCATTACAGAAATCGCGCCAAAATCACCGTTCTTATGAGCGAAGGGAGGCCCTTTCCACTATGGGTTTCGTGCCGGCATAAAAACTACCCGGTATAGTGTGAAAATAGACTTAGGTCCGGTTCAGACGCCCAACTTTTCATGAAACGAACTGAATTCGAATTAAGGCCAGCTGATTTGAAATTAAAAGAATCCACAGAGCCACGAGAGTGACAGTGATACCCATCGTGTTTGGTGCACTTGGAACTATCTCGGTGAATGCAAAGGCCTGGTATGGGAGGTTGAGTCTACCGGGTATTTTTGGAAGCAGACAGTTGTCAGCCATCCTTGGTATTGCGTACTGACCATATCTTGTGGAAAGTGTTATGTCTCTAAGCTGCAGGATTTCTGCTGAGACATGGCTGAGAATTCCCAGTAAAAGAATTGGGAAGTTCCAGTCGTAATGCTCTTAAAACCTTACATAATGTTACAGTTGCGATAGAGACACATTACACCACTAACCTTTTTATTGTTGATATCTAGTTGACTTCTGTTCATCACCCCAATAATTCCTAGTTTCACTGGAATAACTGGTTGAAGCAAACAGAGAGATATACTAAATCACTATGGTTAAAACTCTTGTGCATAAACATTTACTTTAAAATCTGACCTTGAGGGAGAAGAACCCACCAAAAAAACAAAAGCCAGGATAGTTAAAGAGACTAAGAAGAGCAGCGAAATAAATGTGTCACCTCAGACGATAGCTGGGATTTCCCTTAGTTTTCCTCCCGGGGGGAAACTCCGCATATGAAAGGGGTGGGGAGATGCTCGTCGTCTCGCTTAGGGGTATAAATTTCGGAGTTTGGTCTCATTTAAAGCGTTCTGGGCAAAACGCCATCATATTTAGCCGTGAAGGTCTCGTTTAGGGTTGCACGCGAAAAAAATATAAAAATATGTATTTGATATGTAGACAAGACAAGACAATGCTTTATTTGGAGTCTTATACAGTCCTATGTACATCGACTTTATCCAAATAATTTAAAATCATAACACACATTGCACACTGGTGGAACTATAATCAAAGTTAATCGTTAATCTAAAGAACTAATGATCTTCTTTTCTCTTAGCAGTCGAATACGTATTTTGCAATTAACTTTTGCACTGGTTTGTTCTTGTATATTTTTAATTCGTTTTACTTACTCCATTCATATAATCCAAGTTTTTTCATTTGTCTGTGTCTTAACAAGGTCCCTTTTAGCGGTCAAAAAAAGCTTGGGCCACGCCCAGATCGGTCTCCTTTAGGGGTTTAATTCAAAATTTCCGACGAGCATCCCCACCCCTTTCATACGCGGAGTCCCCCCATGGGGTTTTCCTATTAAGGGACATTACTGAAGGATTTCAATTTCCAATAAGAATATCAGGTTTCCCCATACAAATACCTTAATGGTACTTAATTTTGTGGGTCTTTAATTTCAAGTTGTCAGATATGAAACCTTCGCGAAAGGTAAACACACGAAATTTAATACCCATAACGAGAGCTCTGCATACATGTACATGTATGTCAACAGAACCATTTGCTAAAGGAGTGATTTCACCATACTCGATTACTTAACTGTCTGAGTTCAATTGTTCTCAAAAAAGAACACACTACGTTAGTAAAGAATACAAGCATAGATCACCTGCTTTAGGAAAAGTAGATGCAAGAAAAAGTACACACTGCAAGACTAAGGTGACAAAGTCAATGAACGAAAGAAAACAGAAATTCAGTACTCACCTCTGCCATACAAGATGTCCAGAGCATCAGTCCCATGATCCATTAAGTCTAACTTAGTACAAACTGCCAATGTTCTGTTTCCTGTGCAAGAAGAAGTGAGATTTGTCACTACAGCATTACAAATAAAGTTGTGTCTGATAGTGCAGGGTTGATGGATTTTTTGTAATCACGCAACTAAATTCTGTTCTTAACTTGCCTGATGGGCTAGTGAATTCTTTGGGGGAATTTAAATTTATTTAGAGAAGAACTGTAAGAAGTATATGCCATTTCCACATTTCCCATAATGCACCTTATTTGTCCCCCAAAATTTTGCATAAGTATTGTTTTCAGTTTCGCTTGTGACGGCTTTAATGCCCAGGAGAAATGAAAAACAAAGGTTATGCAAAATTTGGGGGGGCAAATAGGGTGCATTATGGGAAATTAATGTGGAAGTAGCGTATTGAAAGTAATTCGCATGGATTCGCATAGGCCATGTGACAGAAAGGCAGGCAATTGCTTTTGTGGCATAGACCATCACTGACGTTTTTGTTTTTTGACCATTTTGTAGCCTCTGCTAATTCACAAATTTGTTATGCCAAAGGTTACATAGCTACCAGCAGTGTGTGAGAGAAAGTTACTCTGATTTGAGTCTCACCATCAGGGTCCACTTCTCTTGCAATCTTCAGAGCTTCTGAAGTGGCCAAGTCAATATTAGCAGGCGTCACAGCAAGGATAATAGAATTGGGATTACTGATGTATTGAAGTATCAGGTGACGAATTTGATTCTCAATGTCCAGTGGCTGATCACCCACAGGTACCTAATAACAGAATTTACAAAAGAACAGGGTCACCCAAAAATACCACAGTAAAACCACTCATTGGTGTTTTGACAGCAATGAATATAGTTCAGTTTTCTCAATACACAGCACTTCCACTGATCGGACTTTAAATGTGGCAAAATGTAATTTAAGCAAAGTTACACGACTGTAAACTTGAAACAATGATGGCCAGCAGTTTTTCCCCCCAGGTTGGTGTGTGGGGTGACCAATGGTTTTGTGTAGAGTTTACAGAGCTCTCAGCTTCAGATGACAAGTCATTCCCTAATTACTTTGTTTCTCCTTACAGGACAATTCTTGCTGATTTTACCACCTGCCCACCCATCCCTCTTGGTAGGGTAAGTTGGTGGCTGCTCACAGGGTTGTCATGAATACTCTAAATGCATTCTTCTATGTACAGTAGGTTTGTATTGTGCCTCCAAAGTTCTTCCTTTCTCATGATAGGCACTATTCCCCAAGCTCATCCATTGTTAATGGAGTTAATGGAAGGTAAAAGAAACCACAACATTGTTTCAGTAAAGAGTAGGGTACGTACACCCCATTAGCCACCAAGATGCCAGACTCAAGAATGTGGTATCTATGGGTATGCATTGCTCTCAGCAGGTCCACACCAGCTTTTAAGCTGCCTTATCAAAATAACATTGCCCTGCATGACAATGACAATGACAATGAGGATGATGATGATGATAATGATGATGATGGCGTTGATGATGACGATGATGATGATTTAGTTAAAAGTTATACATGTAAGTATTCCAGCAAAAAATAAAGGCAGTATATTTTTTAAATTAACAAAATCAATTTAACTCCCACCTTATCAAATTCTCTGCACCATGTGTATCAATGTACACTAACCTTTGTCACTCCAGGAAGATCAACCAATGTTAAGTTTAGCACCTTGGGTGAATAAATTTTTAATCTGATTGGTTCACTTGAAATTCCCTAAAAAAAAAAAAAAATGGGAAACAGTTTTTATTTCTGAACTAATGTAGCCTTCAGCCATTTTTCTATTGCCTGGACTCAAGAAATGAAAGAATTATTTTACTACTGGCAATTAAAACTAATTAATTTTAACCTGACTAAACAAAACTCTGCAGAACTTGAAAACTAAAAAGGCATAATGACAATTGCCGTGATGTTTGATGTAAGTTTCCACAAACCTTGTTATTTCCAGTTACCCTTTCAGTTTCACGTTCTATTTCTTGACAAATTTCATCAAAGTCTGCTATTTTCTGCGTAATATAAATAAAACATTCCTTGTTAATTTTTTGCTACAAAACAATTCAATGGCTGGTTGACTGTCGATTTACTAGTTGCTCAAAGACATGGGGGCACATACAACAAAGTAAAGTAATCATGTACATTTTTAGCTAAGTAACAGAGCTGACAGAACTTAGTTTTTTAACCCAGTCATCACTCGCAGATGTGAAAAAGTCATTTATTCATCACTTCCACGTTGTCCCATAATACATGGTTTTAAAAAATGTCTCTTAGCCAAGCAGAAACATTGTTTGTCTGCATTTCTCTTGGAATTAAATCTAAAAAAAATGCTTTGAGTGGCAAACAGACTACACAGGAGATGTGGAAATGGTGAGTGACAAAAATATCCGATGGCTGCCTAGTGTCTTCATCTTAGAATTTGAAAGACATCATAGTTCCTACAGCCATACATTAATTAAGGGAGTATGTCAGAAAACAAAAATAATAGAGTGGTCATTACAACCCTTCCAGATACAAACAGTGCCTATCACCTGCTCTCCCACACAGTTTACTAAACCTCCCACACAAAACGGACTTTAGAGCTTTTCTGTGCGTAAGTTTGCAAAATTCAGAAAATACAGTGTAAATAACATTCATCTCTGGGGGATGAGTAGATTTTAATGTGGCAGCATTTTCAGAGATATTAATTCTATCACTAAAAACAAACTAAGATCATTTTGTCATTATAATAAAATTATTTGTTGTAGTTCAATTTTATCCTTGGTTTAAACTTATGTTATTTTCCATTGTTTTAGGGTATGGTAATCTATAATAATGAGTTTGAAAAAAAAGAAAATAAAATTTAAACCAAGGATAAACTGAACCATTAACATATTCATGGAAGGGACAGTTGATGGTCTGTACTATAAATAGACACTACGTAATGACCTAAGCCGCACCAATGTAACATATGTATGACTTGGGTACAAGGCCATTTTGTGTTTATAGGAGGTGGGGGGTGTACATCTACAATGAAGATCTTCAGAGGTTAATGTTTCTGAGTGCAATTTACACGTACAGCCAGACTTGTTTCAAAAGCCACAATTGTAAATTATTCCACTAGTCTTCTAAAAGTTTTATCACACCCTTGTACATTGACCCCAGAAGTTTGCATCTCTGAAATATGTTAGACAAGAGCTAGACAGGTTTAGATTCTGCGTAAAAAGTAAAATAGTGTGTTGTACATAGCTTACTCTTTCTTTCAAATGCAGAAATTTTCCCCATTCCTCTGGTTCTTCATTTTCTTTAGGAGAGTCTTCACCCTCATCATCAGAGTAATCTATTAAGAATAACAAATTATCCTGGGTTACTTTAAGCATGAAGAATAACATGCAGGTCATGAAATGTATGTGATGCATGAATGTGTTGTTTGGCAACATCACCCAGTGTCCACTAGAGCAAACTTTAAGTTACAAGTAGTCTAGCCAATTTGTACTTATGTTACTGTAACTTTGAAGTTACAGCGATGGATGATGATGTTTTTTGTATATCTATGACATTGTGCTTAACTTCTTAATATGACGCCCTAAAACTAGTCATACTTATCAAAAGGGGCTACATGTATGTCATCATTGCTATTGCTAACTTTTCAAAAAGCTAAAACATGTCTTCACACATACATTGATCTCCAAAAATAATGTTCCTTGTTTTTAGTGCTAGGCAAGTTGATGTTCATTCATTAATTTTTTTAAATTGTTGTTTTAATATTGTCCTAGAGATGATTTTAATTGCATTGTACAAGAAAATATTGCTAATCAATAATTGAATTCTACTGTCACTGTTATGTAGTGGTATATTTTTTAAAGTGCCCTCAGTTTGAGTAGTACAGTTATGAACAGTACAATTTGTTTGTCAAGTTTGTCGCAAAAATGAACTGGATTAATTCTGCACTCTTATGTGGCAGCTTAGCCTCCAACTTATCAGATATAATATCTTTTTGGCAGGCTAAAAGGTGACGTGGAGCAAAAGCAGAGTGGTGTGATAATATTTTGTTTGGGTTTGTAACAATATTTTTGCAGCCAAAGTTTTGTAAAGTCATTATTAGAAGTAGATGCAATGCTCATTTCTCACAAGAATCTCCATCCTCATCTTCCACACTCTTTGGTTTAATCCCTTTGGATGATCTCTTTGAACTTGTGGTGGCCCTGGGCGGAGTATGCACTAACTGAAGAATCAGCGGCCGTCGCGTGACAACACCAGAGCCTGCAAGGCACAGTATTAAAGCTGGTAAATAGCTAGCCTGAGACAACAGCCAACTTTTTACGACACTACCTCTGGTTTCCCTGTGAAATGACATCTGAGAAACAAGGGCAGAAATTTCATACTCTGATGATGCGTCACAACCCAGATCTGGGTAGTGACGCTTACGGAATTTCTGTGCTCATTTCTCAGATGTCATTTCACAGGGAAACCAGTGGTGCCATCGCAAAATGTAGTCTGTTTCCTCAGGCTAGTACACGTATATAGCACCTATTGTACTATATTCCTCTCCCTTCTCTTAACTGGATGCTTTCCACTGGGGTGTTGTCCCCAGATGCATGACTTTCTATTAAAAGGGAGCCTGAAACAAAGTCCTTCACCCTGTAAGTGACTAACTGTTTAGGAGTACTGTTTATTCCTAGACTTTCACTCACTAAACAGGGAATACTATTGGTTGATTCTAATGATAACATGGCCTTGACTAAATTCAAATATATCCTGGTCATGATACGATTTAAAAGCAATTGTACACGTACTCTTCTCAGGTTATAACAGAATGTGACCAAAGCACGGTGGAAAGTGGTGCGACCGATTGCAGGCAAACACTGCCAGTTTTCACTTTCATGAAAAAATGCGGCAACTCAAATACGGAGCCATATAAACTAAAGAGCAACAATTTTCAAAGTTATCCAAGAAGAGATACAGCAGCCGGTGGAGGAAAAAGGTGCAGATAATGCAAGGAAAGTACATGTTGTTTGTCCGCTTACGGACACTCATGTAAGTGGACACGGACCAGGGCTGTCATTAAGAGGCGGGGGCCGGGGATTTCCCCCGGCTACTATGAGGGTGATCTCCGGCTACTTTCATAAGAAAATAGAAGAAAAATAGAACCAAGCGAAATCCCCAGCTGTTTAATTCCCCGCCTACTTGTTGTATTTACCCGGCAACTTGAAATCTTAGTGACATGCCTGACGGACACTAACGTAACCGGACACAACTCTACTTATGGCTGCCTTCACAAAACCCTGTTTTTTTCTCAACTCTCACACAAAATCTGTACTTTTACATTCCCATTGGTGGCCAGCTCCAGTTATAAAAGGACAACTTTTTTGCGTCCCAAGGGTGTCCGCTCACAAGACCTTCCACTGTAATTCATTCAGCAGTTTTGAGGATTAAAGTTGTTTTCTTATAAAGCAATAATTATAAGAACCAATATTGTTTTGCTTCGTTCTTTATTTTTGTCATTGTTGAATTGAAAGTTTGGGAACATTATATAGTGCGGGCGATAACGATCAAAGGTCAAAACACTTTTGCTCCAATGCTGTACTTTGCACAAGTTTCACGTGATAGAAGGTCAAACCACACATGATCAGATTACAAGTGATAGAAGGTCCAAAATGAGTGATCAAATTGCATTCTTTGCATTCCATTCATTCTTAGTGGAAGTCCCAACGAATGCTGCCTACATACATGTGATGCATGCGTAATAACAACCTGGATATTAGGATTGTGGAAAAACACTTCGGGCGTGATCCATTCAACCAAAATTCCAACCGGTCAGGCCGGGAAAAGTGGTCCACCTCAAAAGGTAGACCAGTTTTTCAAAACTTTTCCAGTTGGACCGAACAGATCCATTGAGTTTTGGACCGAAATTTCCGGAAATTTTGGTTGAATGGACCGCGCCCTTAATGTAAGGTCGCTTGGGAAACCAGTAAGTTTTGTTTTCCCTCCAGTCATGGCCCAAATTGTTTGAAAGGTGGGTAATGTTGTTCACTGGATAAATCTCTATCCAGTGGATAGTGTACAGTGTAATTGGTTTTTCTAATACTTATCTACTGGATAGTGATTTAAACAGTAGATAACCCTATCCATCATTTGAACAACTGTGAACTGATGTTTTCCTTGACTTTGTCTCGGGACTAGAAACATCAAGACTCTCAACAACCTCATCATCACCAGGCCCCTACCAACCTTAAAAGCACCAGTTCCCAAACTCATCAAATGGCAATTAGAGTTTAACTGTTTGAGTCAAACTGTGTTTCATGAGCCAGCTCCTTCTACTGTAGATAACTAAGCCAATGTAAAAACATAGTGAAAGCAAAGCTTCAAACCGAACAGCAACAAGAAAACAAACAATTTGAGTTACAGGTACCTCTCGGTAAGAAGTCTCTTCCCACAAGGTTCTCAAGAACTGAACTTTTGCCACTACTCTGTAAAAAACAAAGGTTGATGCTTACCATACAAAATGAATCCTCTTTGCAAAGAGGCAAACATAAGTCACCTACAGCTGAATGATTTTTATGGCTTTGCTGCCATAAACAAAACAATGAAACTTTTGACCTCATTAGCTCTTTCAGATACTTTGATTTAATGTCGTCATGTCACTTGTATATCTGTCTAATTACACAAAAGAATACGTACAAAGCATGTATACTGTTGTATTCAATTTAGAAGTGACAGATTTATATAAGACAAAAAAACTATAATGTTGAAGAATGCTCATAAAAATCAGTTACTCGTTGTGTATCAAAATAAGGCAATCAACATAAGTATTAGCAAGTGGAAGGCAAGACTGAACAAATATACATGTTTCATATCGCTTCATGCAGGAAGACCGGCACAACAAGAAAATTTCAAAATTTCACGATCGTTTAATTTAAAACTTAAGCTTGCAAAGGATTCTGAACAAAATCAGTGCAAAAACAAATCATTTTCAGGGCCTGTCTGTTTCTTTCTGACAGGGTTTCGTTGGGAGATCTTAAATTTAATTTCAATCCTGAAATATCACTGCATTTTTCTCGATCTTTCGGTTTTGCAGCCTAAAGTCAGCTATTTCGCAACTGACACGGAAAACAGCACCATCGACCAACTGTCTCAAACCGTTATTCACAAGAAAGGTGAATTAGCAATCTAACTGCATCTGGACTGAGTACAAATCAAACAATCTCTGCCGTTTAATCTTCAAGCAAAGGATCAACATAAAGCTTTCTTACATGTACAAATTATGGAGAGAAATTTCCACACACCTGGGCGCCGACAACTACAATTTGCGGCAGTTGGATGGCTTCTGTTCCCACAGTATTAAACACATCTTGTAGTTTGTTAATAACTGGAATGAGCTGATCCATTTAAAATATCATTCCAAGATCGGAAATAATTACAATATTTTGCACTCTCCCTGCCCGTTCAGAGCTTTTGACTGTTTTGAACTTGGCCTTTCCGCCTTTGCGTTGAGCGCATATATTTTTAGTGCAAGGCCGCTGGACGAAGAAATTTACTGTCACGTGACACATAGAGAAATCGTGTCAGTTTCATTTTTCCCCTTTTTTACTGTCAATTTGCTCTGTCTATTAATAAAGAGGGTTTACTTTTGTAATAATATAATAGACCGCGAGCATATGAAGTTCGGCATAAGCTGCGATAGTTTGCTACACGGCCGTTGTTTGTATCATCACCGGAGAGGCGGGGGGGGGGGGGTTGAGTACTCCCTTTATAGCTTGCACTGGGATCGATGTACCGCTGGACAGGGTAAGGTTTTTGCCCTTTCTGGCCTAAACTGGGGCAGGGTATATAATTTTACTCGAGTCTGTCCTAAACCAGGCATACGATTTCGCGAAAGTCTGTCCTAATATTGTGTGCATGTGTTTTATCCTATACAGGGTAGAGCGGTTTTCACTTGACTGTCGAAAGGGATTGGTTTTGGTTTTACTACGCCCTTTGGTTGGCTAGTGTATTTACTTTGGTTTTGGTTTTACGACAGTCAAGTGAAAACCGCTCTAATAAAATTGAGAGTTTTGTCTTAGGGTGTGTTCGATTGGGAAATCTGGATTTAGATTTTGAAAATCCGGATTTCGAATTTGCAATCGAACGCGAAATCCGAAAACGGATTTCAACGCTGAGATTTTCATTTTTACCGTTTGATTGGGAAATCCGAAAAAGGATTTGAAAAACTGTCCTTAAGAACAGCGGTCTTGCACGCGCACGCATACTTAGCAAAAAGAAGACCACTGTTCACGAGAATAGTTTTGCAAATCCTTTTTCGGATTTCCCAATCGAACGGTAAAAAGGAAATCCATGAAATCCGGATTTGGATTTCTCAATTGAAATCCACCCTGAGGACGGATTTCTCGTAGGTGAATTCCGTCTTCGGATTTCGCGTTCGATTGGGAAATTCGGATTTAGATTTTGAAAATCTAAATCCGGATTTCCCAATCGAACGCACCCTTAGGGTCAGGGTTTCAAACCCCCCAGGGTCACCTATACCAAAATATTGGTCGAGTACCACCCCTCCCTGCCAGAGTTCATCACGCAACGCTCCTTGCAGGACAGGAGTGTTGCGTGACGACACAAAGAATGGCTTGTGTGGCGATCGTGCCATTGGGCATTGACTTTCGTGGTCCCCGAACGACTTTTGACTGAACAGTTCCGATCCCGAACTTTGAAAAAATTGGGAAAAGGGTTTAAAAAAAAATGGTAAGCCTATAAGAATCAAAATGACATGATTCTTCCAATATTTCCGGAGAAAATTTAACTCGCTTTCTATGCGGATATGGCTTCTGAGAGTTCCCCAATTCAGTATCCGTATCCTTAGATCGCTAAATTTCTAGCACCGTCAACCTCGTCCATAGGGCTTTTCCCTTGGAAAATTAAAGCCTTGGAGACGAAAGGTTAGTGTACCCCCGTTCGTGATTGCAATATTGATTCTCCGGGATCCCTGATTATTATCCCTTGACAGGAGCCCCTGCCCTTGATTATTAGGGAAACAATGAATTATTTTATGGTTTGCACAAGGACGTTAGTCTTTCAGTGTCAGGTGTGTGTGTTTTCAGTCATGACTAAGGCTTTCCACAAGTTGCTCGAGATTTTCCAAAACGATTCACGTAATTTCTCAAAAAGTAAAAACTTTTTTGGGTCTGATGCTAAAATATGCAAATTGTACAACAGAAGTAAGATTCTAAGCATTTTTGTGCAATTTTCGTCGTAAAAAGCGTTGCTAAATAACTCTATTCTCAATTGAAACCAAAAAATCTAATGATGATAGTGAGCCAATAAAATGGAATGACCTCAGTCTTCACCCGAGACACTCAAGTCAGTCGACGTGTGAATCATCGTCACCATTTTGAATTTTCTCAAAAAAACCCTGACCTAGAAACCCGGCTGCTTTATCTTGCGCCCATGATTTGGGCACAGTGATATGTAAATTGTTATGAAATCCAGGAAGAAAGGCCAATTTAAAAACTATAAAAAGCTGCTCCAATATCTCAGAATTAGGAGATAACTAGATCAAAATGTAAAACGTTGCTCAAAATACGAGAAGCTGCCAAAAAGTTGCAGAATAATTTGTGGAAAGCCCCAGTCATGACACCCAATAATCCATGTTCAGTAGTCTACGGCTGGTGAGGAAGTGAGAGATTCGGCACGTGCGATATGTTTATCTTGTAATTAAATTGTTTTTAAAGGAATTATGAGGGTCAATTATCGATTGGGCAAGCAATTAGATACATATCCAGTTAGTTCGTTATGTAGAGCCTGATGTAACTAAGAAGAGAAAACACTGCTCACGTTAAATTAATAGAGTAAACAGCTGGTCTGTCCTTCTAATTCAGACAGTTCAGATAGATAAAGTGAATGTCCAGTGGCTTTAGTCTGCTTCAGTCTTAGAATCACTGCTTCGTCAGGGCAAGTTAATCGCTGGTGGCGTAATGAGAGAGCTAGTAAATCATTCTGGCCAAATGCTAGGGGAAAAACAAAATTAGAAAATTCAAAGACTATGTAGAAACTGTCAGGAAGGGGAAGGGCGCAGCTGTACAAAGGCTAGGCACTAACAAAAGGCCACAGGAAGCGCAAAGAAGTGTGTTAACACAGCAAAAGTGGATCGGAAAGTTGTCGTCATCGATGACGTCATTCGACTTCTCAATTACGTTCTAATCCTTAACTGTCGTTTTCTCGTTTTTTCGTTGTTGTTTTTCTTTTTTTTGGCGGGGGGTAGGTAATGTTTTGTTTTGTTGCTGCTGTTGTTGTCGTTTTACTGTAGGTGCTAAAATTGGGCATAAATTAATCAAATAAAGTCGACTCCCGATAATTCGAACCTTCAAGGGAAACAAAAAGTTCGAGGTATGGAGGGTAAAATTATATAGAAAATGCTCTGAAGGGAAATTAAAATTGCTTCAGTTAGCGGGAGGATCGAGTTATAGAGGGCCGAGTTACTGGGAGTCGACTGTTTTAGTTTTTTATTATTATAATTTTGTGCAAGACTGTAAACTCAAATGACTGACGCGCACCGAGATTGTTAAGCGTCACAAAGCGTATTGTCACCTCTTACTCGGTGGTTACTTTACGGTCATTTTTAACTCGTCGAACTATAACTCTGAGTGGGAGGATAAATGTCTGCCCATGGGTTTGCGCCGCATTCACTTTAATTAAAGCAATCAATGGGACGTGAACAATAAACATTTTGATTGGAAAATTATCCGCACATTACATTATAGTAATTTGAGGAACTTGAGATCTCAGCTCTTTTAAAGTTTTCTGGTTTTTTTGTTTTGTTTTGTTTTTTTTATTCCGGTCTTAAAAGCTTAATTGAGCAACGAGCAAGAGGAAGCTGGGTGGGGATGGGGTGTAGGCTTTTACCCCTCTGACTCTCTGGAACAAGGTGTGAAATTCATCCTTTATCTCTGATAGAGGGGTGTATTTTACTTCAGTTTGACTTTGGAACAGGGTTAATATTTTCCTATAACTCCTGATGAGTCTTGATCAAGCTTTGGGGCGAATATGTACCCCCGGATAAGGAAGAAACAAAAGCAAGCTGTGGACACGTGAGGTACAGACGTCACAAACCGGAAATGGGAGTGTTACCTTGCCTTAATTCAACCGCCTTAGATATAAATATCCGCCACTGATTTGTTATCTTCCTGTTTTACTCAGAACTAAAGACGTCACTAAAATGCACTGCAACGAATAGACATAAGCTACACCAGACCGGAAGATTTAGTTTAGTTTCGGATCGTGGAAGGATTCAGGCTGAGGATTATTGTATAAGTTTCTCAGAAAACTGAAGGTCTTCATTAGTGGCTAGAAGCAGCTAGAAGTCAGCGAGTCGTCGTTCTAGATAGAGAGAGACAGGTATGAAATAATTCGAAGCTCCTGAAGTTTCTTCTCCTTAAATCAATCACCCTGGTAAGAGACGAGAAAAGCATTATATGAACCGGACTTACGAAAGAGCCTCCGCTCCTGGGAACATTAGAGTGTAGTACGACACCTTGCGAGTAAAAATTCAGCAGGACCTCATAAACTTTCTAATAACTCGCATCTGAGTCATTAACCCCTCATAAACTCTCTAATAACTCACATTTGAGTCATTCTTCTGAAAAAGTGTAAATTGATTTAGGTTGAGGTTTTTAGTTGATCATGTTATCAGTATGAAACAGCTAATTCGTGCCCCGCGAATAAGCTTGTTGTTTACTTGACGCGTGAAGTCTGACACGAGAGATTATAGACGTGACATCTGTTGATTGAAATGCGTGACAATGTACAACTAGCCTGCGTAGCAAGCGGTTCCGCGCGAGTTCGTCGAGAAAACTGGAACGAGAGCAAAAAAAGGAATGAAGGGGGAGGGGGAGGGGAGTGACCCCGCTCCAAATTTCGCGCTATAACTCGACTGGAAACGCTTGCTACGCAGGCTAATGTACAACTAATTAAAATTAACATTGTATTTTCTATAATCAAATCACTCTTGCAGAGTATAACTTTGAAGAGAAATAAACACACGCTAGATCAAACTGGAAAAAAACTTTAATATGGCTGACGGTGAGTCTGGTTATGCAAGGCACAGTGATTTAAGCTCGAAGAGTTATATGACGTACATGACATGATTCTTCGGAACAGGGAAACTGTGTAGATAAACTTAGATTCTCTTCAAAAGTTTGCAACTCTTTCAAACTTAACCTAGTATCGTTTTAATAAGAAGTGAAGCCATATAATGCTCCCCAGACTGGTATGATCTTGTAAACGTTCACTAAGTCTTGTCCATGAAGTTCAGTATTTGCTGAGGTACGTGATAAAATATTGACTGGACTGGACTGGATTGGTAAAACATGGACTGGATTAATAAAACATGGAATAATCAAACATGGGTTAATAAAACGTGGAGTGATAAAACGTGGAGAGATATGGATTAATAAAATTAAATACAGTTAACAAAAGCAAATGTACATGACTTGATCTTGTTCTGCTCACTTTTCAGAAGCACTGTTGTTTCTAATGAACCAATGAGTCAACTTTTCAAATATTATTTTTGTTCTATGATACAGCTCCGCTAACAACGTGAAACTAAAAACCACAACAGCGACAAAAAGTAACGTAAAGTAACGTTATTCAGCGAGGGCGAGACTTCACAATTTCAAGCGCTGGTATAAAAAGGAATCTCTCCATGTTTATCACGCCATGTTTTATTAAACCATGTTTTATCACTGCTTGTTTTATTAATCCATGTTTTATCACCCCATGTTTTATGAATGCATGTTTTATTAATACAGTCCATGATTTACCAATCCAGTCCAGTCAATATTTTATCACATGCCCTTTGCTAAAGTGAATTGCACTTCACGCCGGAAATACATGTTCAGGAAATACTTATATTTATCAAGCATTTTTATATTTACCTACGAATATAACGGGTGGGGGCGGAAAGAGCTTAACAACCCATAAAATAAATAATCTAAAAATCCATTTGCTTCGTTGAAAAATAGGATGGGTGACGCCGTTATATCAGCTAGAACACGCCCTTGCCCTTCAGGAACTTTTAATTCATTAAAATGCCTGTTCATGTGGTTTATACAGAAGTCAGCTGAGAAGAGGGTGGGAAGGAATAAGCATGTAGTAGATAGTGAAGAGTGATGTATGCGAGTCCATGAGATACTTCAAAATTCTACTTCTTGTAAAATCTTAGTTGGTCATGACGTAGCCTGCGAAAACATCCGTTTCTCCTCGCTCTTCGCCGCTGAGGACGTTTCGCGTTCCTGCGCGCGAAACGTCCCCAGCGGTGAAGAGCGAGGAGAAACGGATGTTTTCGCAGGCTTGTCATGACGAGAAGCCTGCGTATATCAAATCGAAGGGAAATTCGAGACCCACTTCTGGTAATTCGCTACAAGTCCGTTGGGAATCTCGGCGTCGCTTTGCAGACTTTACTTGCCGGGGTAGCAGGGAAGATTTCGTCTGCCAATGTAGGTTTACGCCCCCTCCCCTCATAAAAAAAAAACGTGACAGAACATGCGTTTGCCTCAGCTTATTCGGAAGATTTTCGCAAACATACGTAGCTACCTTAAGACCTTCAAAAAAATTTTAGTACTTTTCAGTTTGTGATTTTTATTTTTTCACATTAGCGCGGTATCCTGCAAATATTTAACGATAAGGACCCATAGGAGTTCGTTTCGACCATACCCGTAATATTGCTTAACCGAATTAATATCCTTGTGAAGATAATCCATTCGTCCAATTATTTAATCTAATTGACCATCGCACTTGTCTCTACAGAAACGAGATTTTGGCCTTTGAAAAGGGGAGTACCGAGCGATGAAGAACTCTCCAAATTAGCAGACAGCATACCGCACGACTGGAAGAGGCTAGGGGCGGCATTGGGATTAAAAGAAAAATATTTAAATGCAATTGAGATGAACAAACCCAACGATGTCTACGAACGTGCTCTAGCTGTTCTTCAGAAGTGGAAGAAGCGAATGGGCCGAAAGGCGACTTATGGCAGATTAGCCGAGGCTTTGAATGACCAACTTGTTCGACGACCTGATTTGGTGAAGAGATACTCTAGATCTAATGAGATAGAGGATCTGGAGGGTAAGAATGTTTATTTATTTATTTATTTTTTTAGGCTAACCTCTGCCAAATTCTCAGATTTCCGGATTCCAGAATGCGGAAAAGTTTTGCTAATTGTGAAATTCGGAACCTTGGGCTTTGAAATCCGGAATACAGCTCAAGGAATCTGGAATCCCACTAACGTTTGGAATCAAGAATCTAAGTTCCACTGACAAAGACTGAAATTCAGAATCCACGGCGTAGAATCCAGAGTCCAAAATTGTCTTGGTTTCCCTTACGCCTCCTTTCTCCCCAGCCCCCTTACGTTTCTCGCATCAGTTTTCGTGATCTCTGCTCATTAACACTTTACGTCCAAAGAGTGACCAACATCGATTATCTTTTGACGATATCAATTCTTAATCAATAGATTAGGTTAGAATAATGAAAAATGATCACCAAAGGCGAATTGCTATGATTTGCATAGCTAGACATTTTTTTTTTTTGATTTTGTTAGTGTTGTAGAAACTATTATATTACTTTTAACTTGCCTTCATTCACCAGCTTGTTTCTTTAAATTTCGTGACTTCCATTTCTGTTGTTCCACTCAGTTTAAAGCGGGGTTTCGATAAAAGCGGATCCGAAATAATTTTGAACATATTTTTTGTCTGTGTATCTTTTACGGGTACAACTAACAAGGCCTTGCAACTTCTATTTTTAGATAATACCATCTGGAAACTCAAAACGGGCATTCCAACAGACGAAGAACTTCAACGCCTTGCGCATGACATACCTGAGGACTGGAAACGAATCGGCCGCGCCGTGGGTCTCAAAGAGAAGCATTTGAGGATAATTGAAATCGACAAAGCTGACGATGTTTGCGAAAGAGCTCTCGCCACGCTCTACAAATGGAAAGAAAAACAAGGTCAAGAAGCTACATACACCAGGCTTGCTCTAGCTCTGGATGATAGCTTAGTGCAGCGTCGAGATCTGGTGGAAGAATACTGCTGCGACGTTTTCCCAAGTAAGTTGGGAATTGAGTCGAGTTTAGCCTGAATTTCAGCAGCCTTCCCCCACAGACGTTCCTATGGCTCGTCACGCGCGCAATCCTCCTGATCGGAAGGGACGCGTGACGAACCCCTAAGAACCTTTGCGTGGGAGGCTAGAATTTCAGCCTTCTCTTCGAGTCGCAAACTTCCGCGGCAGAAGACGTCGTCACTCTCGGGAGTTTGCCACTCAAGGAGACGGCTGAAAGTCAGGCTAAGTCAAGTTTTCTAATTAACAGTGGGCTATAGCTAAAGGAAACAAAGGTTTTTAACTAAATAAAGGTTTAAAGGGTGTCTCACGATGTTCACTTATGATTTTTTTAGCTTATTTTTTATTTCCTTTTTTCTACATTTATTTGTTTTACGATAATGATCGCGTCGTTTTGACCGCGTACTGCAGATCTTCATCAGGCGATTATGTCGATAGATAAAGGCGATAGGGCTGCATGATGAATAAATATTACAACATTGAAGTAGTCTTTTGTCTTGACTGGTCAATTCTCTCCGTTCAAGTAGAAAATCCTGGGATATACGATCAATCAATCCGCACTCCTTAACTCTTAATTGGTAACCGGTTCTCTTTTAGGGAGAAAACGCCTAGCCTTCTGATACGTATACCACTGGGCTAAGGGACGGACCATTAGAAAACTTATGGGGGGGCGAAGTAAAAAAAAAAATAGTATTGGTGCAAGGGAAAATTAAATGCAAACAAAATTCATGCGCGCCAATTAACCCTAAAAAATATTCATGCTATGGCCTGAAAAAAATTCATACAAGGAATTTAATAACGAAAACCCCCCCTAATGGTCCGTCCCTAAATTTCTCTGGAAGTAAAAAATTATCATTAATTTTATTCTACAGAGAAAATTTGCTTGCTTGACTTAACCAGTATAAATTTATTACCATGTATAAATTCATGTAATTAATATAATTATGTATGACACTGATATTTCACATGATTTCCGTTAAATGTGTAGAATCAGCATATTTCCCAAGCAATCAGGATGACTTACAAGACGTCACAGATCATCCGCAGGTAAGATGGTGAACACTCCTTAATATTTTGTTCCGGCCCTACGATAGGAAAATGAATATTTAAAGCTCACCTCTTCTCTTCTAAGAAAGACGACCTGAATGAAAATTTGCCTTATCTGTTCCTTATTGACACCGGCCTCGCGATGGATCCTTATTCCTCCACCACGGGACGTGTTAGAACCGCGAAAACGACGTCGACGTCGAGACGAGACGTTGACGTCGGTCGAGAGTTTATTTTTTATCATTATCATTATCATTACCATTATCGTCATCGTCATCGTCATCGCCATCGTCATCGTCATCGTCATAGTCATTGTCATTATCATTATCATAATGCAAGAGATTATTGTGGAAAAATATCCGCGCGGATATTTTTCCATCAGAGCCTGATCTCTGGTTGTTACGCCATACTGAGGAGCCCCAAAGAAGGCGAAACAGCTGTCTATGGCTACAATCACGCTCTGTTTTGGGTTCATTCGGTGTCGTGTTGATGTCTTGCAGAGTTAATTTTTCACGTAGTACGATCAGAATGCAGCATTCTGCCAGCAGAATTTAACATGTCTAATGATAAGCAATTGATGTACTACAGTCAATAAACCCAAAAAACTGACAAGGAATTTTACAACTTAACTGCGTTATGTCGTAGACAGTAAAAACGCTTCGACTTATTACTTTCATTGCAATTTTTCAACAAAGGATGAGCTGGGCATCCTTTTTAATACTTTAAGTGCTAGTGAAGTGTTCTTTACGATCACGTCAGTTCAAAACAAATACGTTTTTATAGCTAACGATAAAAAACTGACTTTATTTTTATGCTCTTTTAGGAAGACAAGGATGGATACGCTGGCGTGGAAAAACTTAGGCCGCCACGAAAGGTATATGAACTTTAAATGCTAAAAGCGACAAACATTAGCTTTGAGGTAGATTGTTAGGGTTTTGTGAATTTTAGTTGTTTGACCGTAGCAAAGAGTAATAGAGTGAAATGCAGGACTCAGGCAAGCATGCAGCTCACACATTCAGCTTGCACGGGGCCATAATTTCTTGTTCGTCTTAGCTAATGATTTAGTTAAAGGATATCTTACCTGGATCCTTACCCTACTAGTCGCGGACTACCGGACTATCGGACGTGACTTTCTTTGGAGCCCGGGGGGTGGGTGGGGGTTCCTGAAAGACCAATTAGCGCTAATCTAGGATTAAAATTTTGTTCCGTTTTCGTATTTTGCCTTCCTTTGTGTTGCTTAGAGTAACATTTTGTGTTATCATTGCCGTATATTGGAGTGAAGGCTCAACAGCATTTTATAAGCTCGAGTTGCATGTTCTTACGAGAAACCTTGATTAAAGTTTAGCTTAATCCTGGGTTAAACTTAATCATCTTTCGAGGAACCTGACCTTGGGAATGGCTATGAAGCTAGACTCCTTTGTTATACGTTTTTGAAGAGACGGTGATCATTTTCAACAAAAACGACGCATGAATTTATTCAGTCTTGTGGACAGAAAAATAAAAGATTGTTCACCCGTCAGGGAGCTTCAAACGTAAACTGCATCACTTTTGTTTTCATCTTTTGATGTTTGCCCGCCTTTCATAACCATGGGCCAATTTAATAAAACTTTTACAAGTGTAATTTACAAGTTTAACTATTAAGTTTAGTTGAGTTTTAGCCACACTTGTAAATTACACTTAATTGTACAAGTTTTATAGAATTGGCCCCAGGCCTCTTCCTTCATGCTACCTCTGACCGCGGTCAAAACGCGGTCAAAACCCCCAACCCACCATCCCATATGTCTGACCAAGAGCCATGGTGCAAATTAGAAGCATTGATATAATTCCAATCAGCCTCAAAGGGGTTAATAAATTCAAATAAATAAAGTACAAACGCATTAGATTTTGGTAATTTTTAATCAATGACGTTTTCGTGGAAATGGCAGGGTACATTTTTTATTTTTTTCAGTTATGTTTGTATCCATTTGCCGCCTAAAACTAAATTCTTTTCACATACAAGTGGTCAGATTTAGAGAATGTCTTGAGTAAATTTAAAACTGCATTTTATTATATTTTAGTCGTTGCCACCGACATATCTGCAAGCTGAAGAAGATATAACCCTGGCAAGACAACAACACCTCCATAAAATGAAACAGGTATCTTTTGAAGTAGTAAACTTCTTTTCCAAGATTTTTACTTTGTACTTTTCTTAAATGAGAAGAGTTTGACCAAGTTAGGCTCGTGAACCAAGGCTGCCCCCCCCCCCCAAAAAAAAAAAATTCGGTTGCTATCATCGCATTACGCTTTCGAAATTGCAGGGTTATTTTTATCATAAGTGTTTTCAAGCTACAAGCGACTATTTTGTCGCTTTCCGAGGTGTTATCTGCAACCAACATCAAGGACATATTTTCAATGAGTAAATCAATGTATAGAAGAAAAAAAAACTTCCCCACCCTGTCCGAGACACTAAGGCACAACTTTTGAAAAATTAAAAAGTTGTCTGATTTTCATTCAAGTTGCTTTAATAACTCAGTATACACTGTGTTCATTCATAACCAAAGGAATCGTATAGGTAGCCTTATTACACCTATCAAGTACGTTTTTTTTTTCTAAAAAGGAAAGCAATGTTGGGCGCTTTCCATTCAACCGAAAAGTCGGGTTTGAATTTCGGCAACTTCCAGTAGCGAGAGGAACAAAATTTTCCAAAATCTCCAGAAAGATAGACTACGAGTAGTCCCCCATTTGTCCTCAGGGATAGTAGAGAGAGCGAAACGCGAGCGCGCGTGAAAATCACCCCACGCGAGAAAGGTGAGACGCGGTGGGGTGCCGCGTGTCGCCTTTTCTCGCGTGGGGTGATTTTCACGCGCGCTCGCGTTTCGCTCCCTCTACTATCTCTGAGGACAAATGGGGGACTACTCGAAGTATACAAAAAGAGGACAACCTCGCGAGGTATAACCAAATTTTCGGAACCTTTTTCCCGGAAGTTTTCTTTCCATTCAACTTTGCTCCCGGAATTTCTAGAATTATCGGTTGAATGGTTCGCATTTTCGTTCTACGGCCAAGGTGGCACTTTATGGACGATTTGCTTTCAGTTTATATTAAAAAAAAAAAAAAAAAAATTCTATATTTTTTCTCTGCATTTCCGTGTGGTCCCTTGAATTTTTCGCTACATGGTTTGAATACAGGTCTATAGTTTGCAATTAGCAGTTGTAATATTTCATTGATATATTCGATAAAAGCACCTATGTAGTATTGATGATGTAAAACCTTATTTCCTAACCAAAATCGTCTATGTCATCAAATGATTAAATTGGTGTAAACTGACAGGGAGTCCCCTCGAAAAGCTCAGAAAGGCTTCTGAGACTTCCTGTTCAATATTGTAATTATTTTTTAAGTACTATCAACAGATCAAAATATTGTAACCTTACATACAATATTGAGGAAATCAATGAATCAAATCAAATCAAATCAGTTCCACTAACAAGATCATTTGACTCATAACTTTCTCCTCTTTTTCTGTTGATAGGAAGGATCTCCAAACTTTAACAACTTTCAAAAAACTCTGCATAAATGGAAGAAAAGAGTAAGTTTAATGTTGTTGCATTTTTCTTTCTTTGTCATATCATTTTTTTTGAGAAACCGTTCCTTTCTATACGTATTCATTTCTTTTACTGGCTTCTAAATAACTTTATGTATATGGGCAAACACGTTGTTAATGCTATGGCAGATAGAGCAGCCATACAATGTTACCATGGCCAGCTTCTACAAGACCAAAGACGATATCATTACAACATAGTTCTCAAGGCCCATTCAGTGCATTCATAATGAATGCTGTTTTGTACACAAAAATAAACCTGATTTAACCGATTGAGGCCAAAGTATTGGGAGAGATTTTGGAAAGCCTAAGTTAAGCCTAACCTTAGTTCATTTGCTCTTTGCAGGAAAGTTTTAGAGGGGAGACGACAAAGGTTTGTGTTAATCTTTTAATCCTTATGGCGAAACTATATGTTTTTTTCTTACTTTGCACATTGAGTGCTTTTGGTTATGGGCATGACCTTATCTGTACTTAATGAGTGTCAGTAAAACGCAGGGTCGGGGTCGGGGCCGGGGCCGGGGCCGGGGCCGGGGCCGAGGCCGGGACCGGGACCGGGACCGGGGCCGGGGCCGGGGCCGGGGCCGGGGCCGGGGCCGGGGCCGGGGCCGGGGCCGGGGCCGGGGCCGGGGCCGGGGCCGGGGCCGGGACCGGGGCCGGGGCCGGGGCCGGGACCGGGACCGGGACCAGGGTCTAGGTTTATCTTCTTTTTTCTTTGTTAAAGAATGCTGTCATCATCATCATCTTTATTTAAAAACACGGTAAATACATCAGGCATTAACTATTTAATATAAAGCTACAACTTAGATACGAAACTATGTATACAGATTAATCTTCTATAATTTAAAATATTGCTAACTATTAAGGAAAAGTAAACTAAAGTTAAGCCTGTTTTACATGAATGCCGTGTCGGAATTAATTAAGAATCGACGGAAATCAGTCAGAGATGTTGCTTGCCTAGCATCTGAGGGTAGACTGTTCCAGAGAACTGCACCACTCTAGGCAAAGCTATTTTTGTAATGGTTAGTACGTGGCAATGGTATTGCAAGCTTATTATCAGAATCGCGTAAATTGTAAGAAGTAATCACATCACTTCGTTGAATGAATTTCGAGGGCAAATAATTCGGTGCGAGGCCGTTTAAGGACTTGTAGACCATCTCAGCCTTTAGTTTTTGACGTCGAGTTTCTAAATTGTCCAAGCCTAATTCTTTAAGCAGTTGGTTGGCGTCAGCAGTTGGTTGGCGTCAAACGTTTGCTGTTTTGGGGTTAGGGTTGGGCTTAGGGTTGACTGATTAGTTTATGTAATGTTAAAAACACAAACCTATCAAGCCATTTGGACGCCAAAAAAAAAAAAAACCAACCCCGAAAGGCTTGTAACTAAATGTAGTTCTGCAATTCTTAAGTTTTGGGTGATTTTCAAGAGAAATCGCTTATCAGGAGTACCTATTTTCAGATCCGTGCCCTTTGATTCGAACGGGACATGAAAACATTTGCGAGTTCTTGGATTCTCTTTATGCGTTGGAATCCGTTTTTTGGCTTTTGGTAAAGAAAAAACATTTTAATCCGTTTATATACTCAAAGATCGGGCTGAAAAGTACCCTTAACTAGTTATGGTTATTTATAATCTTGCGTTCTCCCAAAGAAGGGTATATCCATATTCATGGTGAAATGTACTGTTCCTCTTTTTCAGCAGAGAACACCCTCATGGCGAGTTCGGCGATCAGGAGTGGTTACAACCACAGGAGATTCACACGAGATGGAGGAGGAGGTATGTTATCAAAAATTCGCGGTGGAAGAGATTTTTCAACAATTTCTGCGTACTCTTGTTCCGAAATACGAGTGATCAATGGATAGTATAAAGTGTGATGGGTACATGTGTTGCAGTCGTATGTGAAATGTATACTTGTGTACGAAAATTTGTATATTTATACGTATTTATGTAAGAAAATTGCCTGTGTGCAGTCTGGCTTGCTGCGAATTAGCTCAGTGTTCACTACTTGCAAGCCTAATCGTCTATGTAGAAACGAAGTTTGAATAAAGGTTAAAAGTTTTCTAATTCTTAAAAAAACAACAATAACAGCGGCAGCAGCAACGGAGGTTGGGATGGCTTACCGTGATATTTATAGTAAAACTGGCTACTTTCTTCTCCACACGATCACCGCTCCCCAGTACCAACCGAGGCTAGAGATCAAGAGTTCTATATTTGGCACGACAGAGGAGGAGGAGGAGGAGGGGTGCAGGGGGGTGCTGGATGGAGGAAAGGGATCAAGGGATAAAATCGAATCTGTTCAATAATTTTTTTAGTTAGTTGAGAGAAGTGTATATAATCGATTACTTGGAAGGTTCTCCACAACTGTCCTGAGTTCTTTTGGCCTCAACTGGATATTATTTTCGACAAGAAATGATCAATGTAAATAAAGGAACTTGAACACAGAGTAAGAAGTTTTTCTATTACAGCCTGTCAATTCAAAAGAATTAATTATAGGTCTCCGATAAATGAACAGTAAATGTAGCGAGCTTCTACAAGTACAAGAATAAAATTACACGTACAAGAATAAAATTATTAACGATAGATTTAACATGTACTTTAGGGTTATTTTCAACTATTACTTGTACATACACTCAATAGCTATTATTTATTTTGTCTCTCGAATTTTAATGGCTATCACCTCTCCTGAGTGTGCTTTAAGCACTTGCTTGGCTGTTTGAGCAATAGAGTACTAAAGTGATTACGTCATAAAAATAAAATTTCTGGAATTATGGGATTTGTCAGGATATTCTGAAAGAACAATGTCCAAGAGGCCCACTTGCCAAAAATGAGCATTTGGGGGCAAATTGTCTCTGAGATCGTAGCCCAGTTACAGTCAGAAAACTCCCTACAAACCCTTCTAATTTTTTGGGGGTCGACCCAAAAAAAATTTAGAAGGGTTTGTATGGAGTTTTGTAAGCATAACTGGGCTACGATCTCAGAGACAATTT